TACTTAACCAAATTTCCAGCATTATAATTTTGATTAAAGCTCCTTAAAACTTCATCAAAAACATGTTTTTATGCTTAATTAATCATTAGAAATTCAATAGGAACAAAAGCCCCAAATTAATTGATCATAAGAACCCTAAAATCCCAATTTAAACAAATTGAAACCCTAGGTTTTAAAATTATAAAATCTAAAAATTTATAACACAATTATAATCTGAAATTATTAGTTTAAAACATCAAAGACATGATTTTGATACTAAAAATATAATCTTTATACTACAAAAATCAAAACCCAAAACTAATACATTTATAATTAAACAAGTAGTAAAAACAAAGGAGGAATAAGGGGAAGGAAGGCCACGGCTGGGCCGGTAGGGTCGCCGGCGGTGGCAGGGGGGTGCGCCGGAGGTGGCTAGGCGGCAGTGGTGGTGAGTAGTGAAACTCTCGTAGGAAAAGAGAAAGAAGAAAGAAAAGAAAATAAAAGGAAAAAGAAAAATAAGAGGAAAAAGAAAAATAAAAGGAAAATAAGAAAATAAAATAAAGAGGAGAGAAAATAAGACTAACCTTTTTGTGTGGGGAAAAATTTGGGAATGTATGGGGTATTTATAGGAGAGAGAGTGGTGTAGGGCAGTTGTAAGATTGGGCCTCATAAAATTAATGGGTTAATTAAGTAAGTAAGATGAGTTTGGCTTTGTTTATTTGGACATGAATTATAGAATGAAGGTATGTATAAAAATTTGTACCAAAATAATTTTTGACCCAAATTAAAAATTGAAACCTTTGAAATTAAATTCTGGAAAAATACAAATAAATATTATAAATAATATATAATTTCATTTATAATATATTTTTAAAATATGGGGGATTACAAAAGTCCAGTGCGTTTCTGGTGCGGCCAGCCGCACGGTGCGGTAAGGTACTGCATCATTAACCCTTTTAGTAACAGCCCCTCAAGTAACCTCACTTAAGTAACCCCTCAAGTAACTCCCAGTCAAAGTAACCCCTCACTGACTTAGTAACCCCTTACCAAGTAACCCTTGAATGGCCTAGTAACCCTTAACCGACCTAGTAACCCCTGACCGACTAAGTAACCCCCGACCTAGTAACCCCTGACCAACTTAGTAACCCCTAATAGCCCCTGACCAAATTAGTAACGCTGGACCAAGTAACCTCTCCAACCTAGTAACCCCTAACCAACCTACACCACCTGCTGCACATTCACTCTCGTATTCACGGCGCCAACAACCACGCCCCCACCAACTGTCGTACCCGCTGCCCTACGCCACCACCAAAATTCACCGAACCCACAACCAAATCACATCCAACCAGACCCACACCTCGACAACACCCAAACTCTAGATCCAATCGAAAAAATTAAAAATCGTTTAAAAAAAAATTTAATGAACAAATTCCTTAAAAATTAATAATGACTTCAAATTTCACTTCGAATATGGTTAAAAAGGCCAAATTCGACCATGAAAACTCTAGATCTATCTTAGAGTTTTCATGGATGAATTTGACCTTGAAAACCTCTAGCTTATTTTATGGCGACGGAGTACGAGGAGCTCCCTCCACCACTACTATTGCACCAAATAGCTTTGTTTGGGTGGGCTAACTAGAGAAAAGAGGAGAGAGAAAGGAGAGAGAAGAAGAATTTAAAAATAAAAAATAAAAAATTGTGGCTGGCCGCACGGTGCGGTCAGCTGCATATGAAACTTTGTGTTATCTATACTCTATATTGTTTAATAATAATAATAATAAAAAAACAAACCGAGTCTACTCCATTAAACTATGTCATAATAAATGTCATTGTAGGGAATAGATTTCAAGCGTTAAACCCCCAGCTTGAACCCCACTGTGATCATACACTAAAGTACGGTGGCGTCCAAAAGGGAAGAAGATAGAGCAAAAGAGTCGCCAACAGTTTTAGGAACTTGTAAACCGTTCACAGGGTGAAGGTTACACCCCTTAACGATCCAAGAGATCGTCAACTCCATAAGGTCTAGAACCAAATAAGGGTTCGGGGATGAAGGTACAAATCCAACCTAAAAGAGATTGAACCTGTCCTAATAATAGGCCTCTACTTTATTCTGATCGTATTCATGTGCGCTTTTTAATTAACATGCAATCAATAGGATTAACCCTAAACCTGTTTATCTATGTTGGTTGAGCATTAATGCACAAATAAATCTATTATTAGCGATCACTTGAATTTATAATCAAAATTAACCCTAAACAAGATTATTAAATATCTTATTAAGTGTGATTACAAGTACCAATTCCCTTTAAGCATGCATAAAAAGGTATGATCAAGCAATAACAATAAATAACAAGCAACATAAATTATCAATATCATGAATAATAAAAACAATAATATCATCATAAATAAAATAATCATCATCAAAATAATAATAATAATAATAATCATAATCATAACCATCATAAATTACAACAATTATAATCATAATCATGTTCATGTTAATATTAAAGCATAAAAATAATAGCAAGATCCTAGGCATGATACTAACAAGATTAATAACAAACCCTAGCATGTCACTAAACAATAAAAATCAAATCTTTAACCCTAACATGATACTAACAATCATAAATATTAGGAAGAGAGTAGGAAACATCACAGGAATCATAATAAGCATATTTGATATTAAAAAAAACCCTAGACATGATACTAGGAATATCATAATAACAATATAAACATGATTTCTACATCATAACATCAATAAATCAATTAAAGCACTTACTTTGATGCCTCGTACCTCTTTTTAATAACAAAATACACTCGTTAGTAATTTCAAGGAAAATAACAAACAACAATTAAATTAAATAATTGAAAGAGACATTTGGGACCAAACCCTCAGAAATTAAACCTTTCACGTCTAGGGCGAAGGCAACTTCGAATATGGCTAGGTGTTTCTAGATCTTGTGAATGCGGAATTTTGAATGTAAAAGCAAGGTTTGAAAAAGAAAGTGAAAGATGAATTAATGAATTAAAGAAGAAAACTTGATGAGAATTGGTGAATGATTAAAGAGAAAATTAGAGAATTAATGATTGCGAATAAAAACTGATTGTAGGTGAATCAAAACGGAGTTTTTAATACGTTATTTATAGAGAAATAAGCCAAAAAGATAAAATATCAAACAGAGCACTTGGCGCACGTAAAACAGAGCTGACGCAAACCCTGGCTAACTGGCGCCAGACACCAACACTAGCGCCAAGCGCCAATGGCTAGCGCCAGGCGCCAATGCCTGGAGTCAGGCGCCAAGCCTGTTTTTAACGCGTTTTCGAAAATCAGATAAGTTTGCCGTACTGGAGGATAAAATCATATAATTTCCTCGAAAATACTATTTGATTTTAATTAAAACTCTGAAAAGTCAACAAAAGTCAATTTATCAATGCTAATTGAATTAGGAATGAAAAAAACCTTCTAGAAGAATCTAGAAGACTTAAACCATTCCTAATTGCATTAGGAATGATAAATCATATTAGGCCCTCCCCTAGATCATTGGGCCGCATATAAAGTTCAAACCGGGCCCAGTTTAGTAATTTGGCCATAACTTCCTCAATATTCATCGGAATTGGGCTTATAATATATCGTTGGAAAGCTCTTGTCAAGCCCCATCCAACTACACTATTATTGGATCCATATCATGGACCAACCAATCTGGATTGGCTGTTCTCGTAAAAATAAGTTTTCAAAAACAGAGAGAAGAGAAAAGAAATAAAAACTGTCCGCAACACTAAACTTTCCACACTTTCACTTCATTCGATTATGATTCGACGTGAAAGGTACTCATCACTGGGTTTGGTTTTGGGGAGACACAAATGGGTGTCTACAGTATTTAATTGCAAACAAAAAAAAACGTAGTAAATAACAACAAATAATATATTTTGTGTGCGGCTTGCCATATCATGTAAAAAGTAGCCAATAACATTGACCAAGTAACCTATGAAATATTGATCAAGTAACTCCTATTAACACTAACCGAGTAACCCCCATAGCACTAACGAATGGACTCCTATGATGGTTGGTCACACGGTATGACCAACCACATATAAAAGTAAGTTTAATATGTGTTCGGGGTTACTTGTTTAGGGATTACTTAGTTAGACAGGGGTTACTCGCCAAGAATTATTCGATAAGTCGGTGTTACTTAGTCAGCCAGGCCAGGAGTTACTCGGTTAGTCAGAGGTTACTCGGTCAAGGGTTACTCGGTTAATTAGTCAAAGGTTACTCGGTCAAGGGTTACTCGGTTAGAAATTACTCGATCGGTTAGGGGTTACTTGGTTAGTTAGGGGTTACTCGTTCAAGGGTTATTCTCAGTCAGGGGTTACTTAATCAAGGGTTACCTGGTTAGTATTTTGGTGTGTGTCAGCCAGCCACATGGTGTGATAGGTACATTGAAAACGCGCTAAAATGCAAATGATGCTTAATTTATTATTGAAAGAGACTATTATTCGAACAATTAAACGTTTAAAGGTTTGGATAATAATTTGAAAGAGAGTTTTATCCGAACAATTGAAGGTATGAAGATTCAAATACTAGAGCCATATAAAAAAAGTAGTTTGTAGTTCGTCACATAGTATGGCAAGCCACATATAAAAGAAAGTATATAGATAATTTTTCAAAAAAATGAAATTCCAAATATATATGTCTCTGAATTACTTATTCGAAAATGAGAATAGTATAATTTCATTATTAGAAAAAGATGATGGGTATGAAATTTAAGAATAAACACATCGCCTAAATTATTATAATAAATCAAGTTATGAACTTACTAATTTTATTTTTATTGAATAGTTTGTAATATCGGAGTAATAAATCTATAACCCTTATAAAAGTTGAAACCCCCAACTATTCACTCTTCACTGTGCTTAGGAACAGTATTTTCTTGTGCTTTTACTCCACTGCCCCCAACATTAATGAATTGCCAATTCTGCCCCTTATTCCTAATTGGTTGATGCCTGCTACTCTCCCACCAACTTCCTTCGATGTCTCTCTTCTCTTATCATCTCATCTCAGAGAAAAAAGGTTGAGTTGCTTTTTAGGGGAAACAAGGAGAGTGAAACCAATGATGGCGGTGAGCTCAAAACCACCGATCATACCTTCGACGATGGTTATGGGCTTCGATTCTTCTCAGCGTTTCCGATTTCGGGCGGTTTCTAAGGTTACGATTGTGGACAATGGTTTTCTGATCTCCAGGTATAATTCTCTCTCTCTTTTCTCTTTCTTGTTCAAATTGATCCAGTTTTCATCTATTCTCTTCAATTAGATTTTACCTTTTATATATGAATGTTAACTGTTTTTTTTTTCTCGTCCTCCTGTTTCTCTATTTTGTCTTTAAATTAGGCGGAAGGAGGAAGATGGAGCAAGGTTTGGTGGACTCGAGTTTGAGTTGGATAAACTCAGGTGTTATTGGTTGTTATATATATTTTTTTTATTTCATTTCTAGAATTTTTTTTATTGTTGTTGATGTTTGTTTGTGGTTTATGGAATTGATGGAATTTTACTTTGATTGATTGAGAAACAAGATCAGTTGAAGTTAGGCGATTTTTTTGTGAAATTCGAACTTAGTATTAGTCTCCCTTGATTATAGTTCTGTTGGTTGTTTTTTTGGAACATGTTTAGAGTGTTTTTATCTTTGATTTGCATGATTTGGTGTTCTCATTTTGTGAATTTTATGATGTTTGTGTCATATGTTATATGCTTTATGTAGATATGAGCTAATTTGGGTAGGCTGGTTTTGAGAAATGGGAGATCTTGAGATGATTATCCACCTTTTGGGGCAAATTGAAGAGCAAGTGAGTGATTTTCTTATCCTGAATTGACTATTAAATTGTTGGGTTCGTGGGGTTTTTTCTGGTGCTGATTGCATTGGGCAATTGTTCTCATTCATCCTTTGTCTTCTTCTCGCTCATACCTTGCCAAAGTAGGGGCTTTCTGAATTATGGTATGCTTTTCCTCTCCCCCCCCATCCTCCCTTCCTCCCTTTTTGGGTAGGGTGTTTCTGCTCAGGTACATGTGTCAAAGTGTTTTAATACATCGTTTTTAGGTTGGTTTGTATGTATTTGGGAGGAATGTCTGTGTACAGATTTGTCTATGTCCAAGTATTAGCTTTTTAACTTTAATGCATCATATTATTGGTCCAAAACAAGTGTTAGTTATCTACAACTCCTTGTTATTGTCTGAATATTTAGTCATATGCTATTAAGAGTCACAACTTGCATGTAGCTACTCTTGTCACCTCCTGTTTGAAAAGTGAAAAAAAAAATGCATTTAACCTCACACTCACTCTCATCCTCACGGGCCTCACCCCCTCACAGTTACAGTCAAGTGCTGAACTGTCATCTTTTTCCATACTTTACCATGATAGAAATGCATAATCCTCTATTTCTTATAATTTTGCAGGTTGTAAATAGATTTTTGTTTTAAATTTGTTATGGTGGATTGAATTGATTTTTTGCTGTTGCCCTCTTCACGTCCAAACTACAGTCAATGTTGATATTACCGGACTCCTGGGAAGCAAGGATTTTCTCTTGGTTATCTCTTAGTCCTTAAATTTGCTTTGGGTTTTGTATTTTAATGCTTATTTTTCTATCAAATGCGTGCAAATTTTGGTTTTAGTTTAGGCATATTGTGGCTTAACCGCCTTTGTTCTAAGCTGCAAGTCTTTTCAGATTTAGCTGTGCAATTGTTTAGTTAATTGAATTTTTTTCTAAGATTTGTTTGGATTCTTAATAGACTTGGTTTATGTTTAAGCAATTTGTTTGTGTGACTGTTATTAATTGTGAAAGGTTTTATTGTAAATTAGATTTCTTTATTTCATCTAAAGAAATAGTTTAAATTTGGTAATATGGAATGGCTGAAAGGTTCACTTGCTTATTCTTTGTAAACGTCTTCAGGCAAAAGCTATGCATGATGCTTGCTGCTCTTACTGCAACCTATGTCAAGTGTTTAATGTTGTTATAAGTAGTTTGGTTTACTGCTGAAATGCTTAGGTTCTTGGAATGCAGTTCAAGAACCGTTGCAGACCAATCCAGATCTAGAGGAGGGTTTTTGCTGAGCTCTGTTGTGCCGTTTATGGTTTCGTAAGGTCTTACCTTATATACTCTTGCTACTTTTATAGATTCCCCTGATTGCCAATCTTACATCAGACCATCAAGAGAAATGTGACGAGAGATTTGAGTGTTGTGCTATTTTGGATTTTTTTTTTTTTTTTGCTCTGCCACTTAAGCTTGTATACAGTATAATACAATGGCCCTGGATGTTTTTCGTTATTTTCCTTCTCTGCATATATTGAGAGGACAATCGTTCTTATTGATGCCTTTAATCTTTCATGTCTATAAGTCTATTTATTTACGGAAGACATCAAGCTCTGCAATATTCTTCGGAATCCATGCCTCTATTTCTGTTGCTGTGTGCTAATGCATGTGTAAAATTTGTTTTGATTGTAATACCCGATACAAATTCGCTAACATAGTGACTAAATTGCAATTTTCAGGGAAGGTACAGCTTTTGCTTAAGAATTTATTGGCATATAATAATATTTTGCCTCAAAATTTTGTTCAATTTGATGGCTGCATTAATTAATCAAACCTACAGTGTAATGAGACTTCATTTTTCATTGTGTGTTGCAGCATTACTACCACCTTCTTATGTGCTTGAAGGAACCCCAAGGCAAAGGCTTTGAGTTGGCAAGAAAAAATATTTTATCTAGCTTATTACAACTGGAACAAATGCAAAAATCAGCTGAGTTTCTGAGGTCTATAGGATGCTTGACAATATTGTTTTGTTAAGTGTTTTGTGTATTTATTACAGTACTTTTTTTTTTGGGAATTTTGATGACTATAAATTGCTGAAATTATATTTATTATTATAAAATACTTATTTTAAATTATTACACCACTTGTCTTTTCTGGAAATTTTACACACCATATTCAATTTGACAGTAACATTTATCACCACGTTATTTATCAGAATAGTAACTTTAGGCTTCTTCTAAGGTGGAATATTGTACCAATCGATTTCATAATCTCGAGGTTCTAGGGTCATTTAAGTCAATAATTCTAAGTACTATTTCATAATATGCAGTTTAATAGGATTATTGATGTGCTGTGGATACCATATCTGTCTCCTTTGTCTTTCTTGTTCTAATTGGTTCAATTTTCATCTCTTCTATTAGATTTAACCTTTTATATGAATGTTGACTGTTTTTGTTTTTTTTTGTTTATTTCTCCTCTTTTTTCCTTTTTTTTTTTTTTGCCGTTATTTTTTTCTTATCCTCCAGTTTCTCTGTTTTTTCTCTAAAATAGGCGGAAGCCAGAAGGAGGAAGACGGAGCAAGGTTTGATGGATCTTGTTTTAGAGACATTATGTTGGACCCTGTTGTTTTATCTACTAGCTAGGTGCGATTGGCTAATGGAAATTAATTTTTTCTTGGGTTTTCGTTTAATTTTTATGATTATGTTGAATATTTGGGGTTTAATTTTATAGAACATTGTTGAATTTTCTAGGGCATAAAGTGAAGAAAATCAGGAGGAAGGAAGAGAAAGAAAGAGAGAGGTTTGGATCTTAGAGAATCCCGGCCATGGTGCGTAATTTTTCATTTCTAGCTGCACACGTTGGAGAATTACAGGGGTTGGTGGTCATGATTGAATTAAAGAAGATATTCTTGACCGAGTCGTCAATATTCATGCCCAGCTGAGTTCATTTGAATCTAATTCAATGTGATTATTTTCTTTTTCTTGTAAATATGTTATTATTTAATTGATCTGTTTAGTTTAATTCTGTTGCTCAGCCTGGTGATGTTTTATTACTCCATAATCATTTTAATCAATTTGGCTAATTTTTGAGAGTTTTGTGATTATCTTTTGAAACCTTTTTTAAAACCAGTTTTGTGATTATCTGGGTGTTCTTAAATTACTGTGAAAGTTACGGTTTTTATTACTTCAAATGGTAAACTTTTTAATCAACTTTGTTTTTTATACAAAAAAATCTTAGGTTTTTAACTATGTAGATGTTTAATTACAGGTACAAGAAGCTTCTGTCAAGTGTTAACTTGACGAAGGATTTTATTTTTACAGCTATACAAATCCAATTATACAAAGCTTGCAAAAAAAAAATATATGTGCAGCTGAAGGATTTGGTTGGAATCGGTTCATGGGCTTTTTAAGCAAGTATGTAACTCATACTTTCTTCTTTGGCTCTACATTGGTTAAAAAAAATGACACAAATGAGTCATGGGATGTCGGTGACTCATAGTTGGTATCTTAATAATCAATCTGATATTCTGATGTTTTCTTTTTTGAATGGTTTTGGGATATTTGCGAGGTTTTAATTTTACATGTACATTATTCTAGGTTGTTATTTTTTTTTCCTTTATGTTTGATACCTTTTGTATGCCCTAGACACAGTTATATAACTGATGACATGTTATTGAATTTTGAAGATTTTCCTCTATGATATGAACCGTAATCAATTAATATAAATGAAGGACTTGGCTTATTTTGTGTTTTTTCTCTTAATTTCCTATTTATGTTGATTATTGAACAATGCGGTATTGATTTCATGATTAGTATCCTGAATTGGTTGAATCAATTTTCTGTAGGCTGAGAAGTTGTACACAAAATTGCAGTTTTGGGTTGTTTGGTGAAAAATCTCATTCTATAAGTTTTAAAATTTTTCCTTTTAGTATTATTGTAAAGCACATATCTTGGAAAACGGCTTGATGCAATAGAGCTGGAAGAGTTTCAATATTGACGTTGTATAGTGGCCAAGGAAAGAGAGTGATGTGGATTGGTTATTAATTAAGATTTTGATGTGCTAGTTTGTTGTAACGTGGATAGCGTTTAGTAATCACTCAATTATTGATTGGTTGGTCTAACAAGCTACTATGCTAGCATCTTTAATTTTAATAATCATTTTACACTGCCAAGTTAAAGAGTTTTGGTATAGCATAGTGTATGCTAATGTGATAAAGAGTTTTAAGTGAATGCGTAAGGTCTAGCTTATTAAATTCATTTAGCTTAGTAGTTATGTTAAAAGGGAGCTCTAGAGTTTGTGGAGTGACCTTTATTAAAGGGACAAGAGATGAATGCATAGTTTAGGTATGTGAGTTGCGAATTACTCGAAAACGAAAGGATAACTATGGTTCTTTTTATCCTAAAAATCAGTTAAGCTAAACAAAAATAAGTTAAATTTAGCTAATATAAATTAAGTTTAAACAAGTAGAGGTTAACGAAGCTTAATTGAGTCGTTATGTTGTGAGGAAATTTGTGTCATTGAGTGAGAATATGAAGAAAAAGCTAAAGACTTTTCTCTATCAGTTGGAGGGTTAGGGCTCTCAGAGGGTGGAATTGAATGCCTAATTATAGAGACACTGAGCAAATGTAGGGAGCACTTTTTGTATGTTTGTATGATAACTTTCTAGAGCTTCTGATCAATTGTTGGGATTTGCTATCCTGTTATGCAGGGATCACATCATTTTTTAGCAAGGCTGAACATTTTTTCGATTAGGAGAATAGCTTTAAGGGGTGGGTGAGCATGCATATCTGATTATCTGTTCAGACAGCTTGTACACGATTCATAATGAGATGATGTAGTGATGATTGTCCTATCTAACTTTCTTGGCATGCTATATTTAATTTTGTTTCAATTCAAAATTAATTGCATGATAAAAGGGTCGTTTGAGCCAACAATTCTATAATGAAACCCAAATGGGGATAGTACTATAATCTTTTCAGTAGTTTTTAGCTCTTAGGAAGGAGTCATGCTTGGTAACGATGGATGATGAATCACTTTCAGATTTAGACTATTCGACAAGGATAGAGATGATATGAATTCTTCTTTGTTTATTCATTTTGATTTTGGTTTTCTGGTCATTTTGTATCGTATGATGATTTAATCTTGTGTAGATCTTGTTTTGGGTTTTTTTTGTATTACCTTTTACTTGCCTAGCTTGATTATGTTGGTTTTAATTAGGAATTGATAATGTGATTGATTGTATTTTATACTTGATTTAATTATGTATGATTAGTTTGGAAAGTATGTGGGATTATAGTAAATTTAATATGTGGTTGGTTTTATATGATCTAATTGGTCTAATGGACCTGTTCATTATAAGATCTAATGGAGTCTGTTTCCTTATATGATCCAATGAGTCTGTTTGATTTTATATAATTAGGAAGTCACCGTCGAGAAGATGTCAAAATGGAGAGAAGAAGACTAGAGGTCATTGTTGAGAAGCTGATATTCGGGTATGTTTTGTTCAAGAACGTGGGCTTCCAAGCTTTTTTAACTCCATTGAAGTTGAGAGAATGCTTTAGGTGTCGACAATAATTGGTATATAAAGTAATCATCTTAGTAAACAAGGGTGATGTAGCCCTTTATTGTTTGATTTTGTAATTATAAACATTTGTGTCGTAATATGTTTAGTTGTTAACTACTACTTAGACCAATGTTCTATAGGAAAATGTACATGGAAATAACTCAATAGTCAATAAATTTGCCTAATTGCAAAGAGTTATGTTTTTTTGAATGTAATCAATTCACCAAATTTCCCTGTTATATACAAATATCAAACTTTCGTAAGCAGGGCAATGCTTTGGAATGAGTTTAATTTTTTAGCATAAGTAATAAGGTGTTTGAAATTAGTTTAATTTTAAAAGTATTATAAATCATTGTCCTTGGTATTTTAAAGTGTAATCTGATTTTAATTTTGCAAAGTCTAATTATATTTTAATTTTAATTTAAAAGTGTAAGTATAACCCATTGTGAAAATATTTGGCAAATTTACTTTGAAATTGTTTATGGCTTTTTTATCAAAGGATGACCTATTATCCAAATAAAACCATATAAGTTAATGATTATTATAAGTTGGAAGATTAAGAGTATGAAAATGAAGAAAGGTGTCGTCCAACAGTCAAATAACAACAAATAAAACATAAATATTAATATACATTTACAGTATAAGTCAAGTATTACACTATAATATCAATTTAGTAGTGACTTGGGCATTAATTATGAATAAAGAATCGAACTTATTTCTAATGAGTAAAATTACGAAACACGTTATATACATATGTTTTTAAGCAGGACGCTGCTTTTACCATTCACATGCATACAAACCTAAACACATTACAATCATTAAAACATATCCAATTAACATAAATCAAACTTGCATGCATTTTAATAATCTTCAAGATAACATATTTATTAACATGAACAAAATTACATATCATAGCGTTGGGGGGCGCGCGCATTGTGCGCGCACCAACAACTAGTTAGATAGAAATGATGTAGCTCCTAAAAGAGAACAATAAGATGACAAATTCATTAAAAAAAGTCAAAAAAAAAATATATATAGTAGTTGAGAAATTAAATAATCATTATTTTATGAGTTTCTAAATAAAATAATAAAGTATCAAAGGATGTTATTCACATTTTAAAAAAATTATTTTTATTATAAATGTAACTAGATGAAGCTCGTGCGATGCACGGTTTGTTTAAATTTTTTATAAAAATAATCTAATATATATATAAAAAGGGGAGTTTTTCCCCGAGATTTTAGAGAGCCTCGTAGGATTTAATTAATTTTCTTAGTGCGCCATGTAGGATTATAAATTTGAGTTGTAGCCAATTAAATAAAAGATTATTAATTTATTTTACAATTAAATAATTCAATTGACACGTAAGCAAAATTAACTAATGAGATTTTAAAGTTAAAAATAATTAAATACAAAATATTATCTTTTGAGATTAGAAATTTTATCTAATATTTTAAAACTAATATAATAACAATTTTAATCGCATAAATATGAAAAATATTTTTTAAAAAAATACTAACAAACCGTGCATCGCACGGGCTTCATCTAGTTATATATATATTTATGTGCTAAAATTTGTTATATATTTAGATAAAATTCCTCATATCAAAAGGTAATATTTTATATTTAATTAATTTTAATTGGGAAACCTCATTCGCCAATTTTGCTTACGGGTCATTTGAATTATTTAATTATAAAAGAAATTAATACCTCGTATTTAATTGGCTACCACTAATATTTATTATCTTACATGGCGCACTAAAAAAATTAAATCATACGTGATTTTCTAAAAACTCGGGAAAAAACTCCCCTTTATACATATATACTAGAGTGTACCTGTGCAAAATGCACGGGATATATAAGAAAAAATATATTTAAAATATGGAAAGTTGATCTTAATGTCAAAATTTATACTTGGGCTGCAATGGTCGGTTTTGGACTGGTCGACTCTGTTGAACCCTATTTAGCTTTGCTCTAGTGAGTATTAATAATCGTATTAACAATATGCTGATACTTGTTCTGTCATGCTGACACCTGCTCTGCATATGATATTCCCTGCTTTGCTTAGAAGCTCAAAAAACAAAGTCTTACTCTTTTATGTCGGTGGCCACACAATGTAGCTAGATATTATGGGGTTTACTTTGTCAAATTTATAGAGGTTACCCGTTTAGTGTTATAGGGGTTACTCGGGTTACACAGTTAGTGATATGACATATGAGTTAGTGCATGTTTTTCTCTAAGAGTTATATACTTTAATCTGTTGCAAATAGTTATTCGGTGAGGCCAGTTGCGCAAAAACGTGATGTACTTTTTTTTTATGATAAGAGAAGTGGAAATTGTTTAGAGGGTAGTGCTTAAAAAAATGCATATAATTGAAGGGTTGGGGATTTAGAGTACTGCAGTAAATTGTTGATAAATGAATTGTATACTCATGCTAATGCATGACATATATTATACTATGTACCAAAAAATACTCGTAAAACAAAGTGAAATGTTAGTACATATTGTTTTTAAAAAAGTGAAATGTTGGGGATTTTGAGTGTTATAGTGAATTGTTGATAAAGAAAATGTATACTCGTGCTAATATATGTCATATATTATACTACGTACCAAAAAAAGTTAAATGTTAGTAGTAGTTTTTTGAAAAAAACAAAAAGGAAATATTGGATGGGTAGTTATTGTTTTTTTGTAAAAAAAAAAAATTGATAAAAAATAAATCTATATTATAATTGTAGAGTGGTTTTTTCAACTTTTAACCACAACACTCCAAAACCCAATCTCTCAATTCTCATTCACTCTTTTTTTTTTTTTTTGAAAATTCTCTTTGATAACACCATAGTTTTAAGTTTTCTCAGTGGTAAATTGCAAAAAAGTTAAAAAGCTTATTATCTTTGGTAAACTCGAATTTCTTATATTAAGCTAACGGTAACATTAATGACTAATTTTAACTAAATATTTGACAATAGTTATTTTTTTTTTGACATTTAAATGATTTAAAAAATAATTTTAAAACTAATTTATTTATTTTTTTTTAAAAAATCACCTCCCTCCCCGACCAGCATCCACCACGCCGGCGCCCACTCCCCTGCCCCAACCCACGTCGACGCCTAGCCACCTCTCTCGCCGGCGCAGCATCGGCGTCTCCAGCCCCGAAAATCACCTCCCTTCCCCACGAAAATCCAGCCCTCCTTCCCCGACCAGCATCCACCACGCCGCACCTTTCCCCCTTCCCCGAAACCCACCTCCCTTCCCCCGAAAATCCCAGAAACCACCCCCGAAAATCTAAAATTCTTTAGCCGCCCAATACCCCACCATCAAAATCCCTAATTGGCTTCAAAATCCCCCACCTTCGAAACCAAACGGTTTTTAGAACCATGGCCTTCAACCTGAAGCGACGCCGCTCATTTTCGCCATTGAAATTGATTGATTTCATCCTTATTTGCGCCGCTAATTTTCGCCGGTGGTTTAGGTCGTGGGTTTGGGTTCGATCTGGCGCAGGAAAGGGAGGTTGCGTGAAAGGAGGAGATAGATTGAGAGGATGGTTGTAATGTAGTTGCGGTGGGAGGAGGATCGTGGGTGGTGGTGTGAGGTTTTGGGTTGGTGGTGGTTGAGGAAAGGGAGGGGGATAGGGTCGCCGACTAGGAGGGGATGTGCGCCGGCAAGGGGAGAGAGGGGTTGGGATGCCGACGGTGGTTGTTGGTTGTGGCAGTAGTTGGCTGGTGGTGGAAGGGGAGATTGTTTTTTTTAATATATTTCTAAATTTAATTAATTGTTAGAAAATTAATTAAATTAACCATGGTTAAGGAAAATTGGTTAAAATAGTTATTCTCTTTGGTATCAAAAATTCAAGTTTACCAATGATAATAAGTTTTTTTTTGCAATTTACCACTGAGAAAACTTAAAACTACAGTGTTACCAAAGAGAATTTCCCTTTTTTTTTCCCTTTTTTTTGCCCTATAAATAACTTCCACATGTCTTTTTTTTAAAAAATAAAAACCCTCCAAAAAAAATTTCACTATTATTTTTCCTAATAACACACACTACCCCAAAAAACTACTTACGTTGTCCAATTTTTTTTAGAAACACCAATATTACAATAATTGCACATTTTTTTCCAAAATTACGTGCACTTTTTTTAAATAATATCGCCACCATAAGTTCTTCTATTTTCCTTTTTAAAAATTCTTCTAATTGTTTATTTATATATTTTTAAATCAGCTAACTACCTTATTATTAATTCAATAATCATCGGAAAAAAATATATACATAATGTTTTTTGTGCGACAACACATTTTTTTTTTCCGACAAGCCAGCAGTGGCACTGGAATAAGTATAACCCATTATAATATTGACGGAGTAACCCCCTATAACACAAAACGCACAACCCTTATAACACTGGCGGGATAACAACTATAACGCTAAACGAGTAACCCTTAAAATATTGACCGAATAATCCCTATAACATTAACAAAATAACTTCCATAATAGCTAGCTACACGGTGTATTCAGCCACATAAAGGAGCAAGTTACTATATCACAAACAACTTCACGTATTTAAAATATATTTTTGTTATTAAATCTTTGTAATATCTTTCTATAAAATATATATCCCGTGCATTTTGCGCGGGTACACTCTAGTAAAAATAAAGTTGTTGGATAGGTAGTTATTTTTATTTTTTTAAAAAAAAAAACCTTAAATGCATGAGAGTTGAGCATTTGGGTTTTGGAGGATCACAAACTTTTAAATAAAACGGATGTTCAGTAAATTACTGAACATCCGTTATAAAGTGACTATAAAAGGCGCAAAAGTTACACTAAAACGCACAAAGGTTACTGTGACATATATAAGAGTTATTTATGCTTCATTGATAAATTTGACAAAAGTGATACTAAATTTGACAAAAGTGACACTAAATTTGACAAAAGTGAACTCGATGTACAGTAAATTACTGAAAACCGGGTGTATACAAAAGTAATTGTTGGAGGATTTTGGTGAAAAGTGTCTGTACAATTATAATATAGATTTAATTGTATTGCATTTTTTATTTGTGTCACTAAAATGTGCTAATCTAAAAAAAAAAAATTAAGTTTTCTCTTCAAACCTATTCCTATAGATTCACTATATCAATCTATTTAGGGTTGTAGAGTTGAATGTTGATTCTGAACCACATTTATTAACTTTTGTAACTTTTGCAACTATACATTCATGGAGCTCCATAACGATACAAAAACATCTAAAATTATTCAAATTAGTTCAGAAGTGATGCCATAAATTTAGAAGTGTTAAATACTTTCAAGTATATATTGATATTTTAAATTTCGTAAAGATTAAGTGTAATTAAAGTATGACTTTTGTTATATAATAAAAAAATAATTCCATCGAACCCATTAGAACAACTCGACGGGGTTGATTCAAGTGCCCTTTACCCTTATATTGTATTTTGTGTAATGATGTAATAGGAGTGGCTTTGTCACGTTTTATTTCCCATTATTTTTTTTTGTCTTGTTTAGCTATCTCAGTAAGACACATAGACCAGTTGTTCTATAATTATGTTGGATTATATTCTAGTCACTTGTGTGCCATTAATCATTTGACTATTACTCATGAGAAAGTTATACAATATTTTGTGCTATTTACAAATGCAAAGCTTCATGCATGCCATGCCTATTTATAGGAAAACAACTAATTTTTAGAGCTTTTTAATCTTCTCATCATTAGACTCCATTAGGATGCCACTCATGCCACCATCTATAATATCCTACACTCGTACAAACATCAAGTATGTGCTAGATAGTTCAACTATTTCCCTATAATTGTATATCTTCAACTCTTCAAGGCATCCTTCAAGGCTTGTAAGTTTGGATCCCATATTTGAACAACCATTTATTCCAAGTCCACGACTAAATTAGAAATTATTAGGGGACTTGGATTAGTTTCTTTGGCACCAGTTTACAGATTTGACACCATATTACCATCATTAGGGTTAGTCCCTTCCATCTCCCCAAGGACTTGGGGTTGGATTCCTCATTGTTAAACTCAAGAAATATTCAACATAAATCTAACTTTTAAACATAAATACAATAATAACATAAATATAACCAAACCGACTCTAATACTCATCCTTCCCATTCACGTGATAAGGTAGGTAGTTCTTCTCGTATCTTAACTTTTTTTTTAAAAAAAAAAAAAGTTTATTGACAAATGTATCTAGTCTTTTTCTATTACATTGTCTGCGTGATGAAACTTATTTTATAATAATTTAGTGTAAACTGTAAAATGTAACCCAATTGACACAAATACATAATATTAAAACTATAGATCTTATTTGAATTGTGACACTTTGCTACATCAACACAATTTTTTTTTTTTTTTGACAAACATAAACACATTTTATAGGATCAAAGTATTATTATCATATTATATTTGTATCTAGATAGTTTTTAACATGCTATTTACACGGAACATGGTGTATTTGGACGAATGCCGACATGGATTGATTAGATATGCTCACATATGTTATACTACGTAGTTATATTGGAGTAAATAGAATTGGACCCAACCCAGGTTGAATATATGATCATTGATTCAAGATTTATAGAAGCCCAATAAAGACACGTCAAAATTCCACAAAATTTGACCAAAAACGGTGGGTGTCATAACAAATCAGAAGAACCCATAAAAGCCCCAAAATAAAAAATTGGAGAGATAGGATCATAGGAATGGGGCTAGGTAGGTGGGAGGACAAAACAAAATTTGTATTGTTATATCATTATGATATTCATCAAATAACCATAGTTTTTACAGTCACAGAAATTTTCATCGAACTACCACATTAATAACAAATTAACAAGTACTCCGTATTTGGACTCTGGTTCTCACTTCTCAGTGGCTGTTACTAGTACGATAGTATATTAGACTTTTTTTTGAAGGAACCGCAGTACTACGTGTATTAGACTTAAAACTCATTTTCATATTAACCAATCTATCTATAACTATATACTAAAAGCGAATCTGACATGACACTTGTCATGTTCCGATTAAAAATTTTCCCGCCACTTTTTTCTTTCCATTATTTTTTTTTGTACAAAATCTTCATTAATATTATTTTAAATATCCTATGATATTTAACTTTCAATTTGGCAACTATATACGAAATATATTCTATATGCATATCTTTCGTATTTTTTATAATAGGTATTTTTCTATAATAAACAAACACATAATAAGGTAATATATTAGAATAATAAAATGTACTACTCTCGTACTTCGTATCATTCTACAACGTTTTTTTTCTTTGAAAGTTTTTTTGCTATAACCAGGATTTGATAAAACAATTACAATTCAATAACTATAAACATAAATATAAAACAAAATTAAAAAATCATGATTATTAATTTTCATAAAAATTAGTCAATTAAATTGGTAAAACATTGTGCCAGTTAAAGTATGCTATAAAATATTATGCCGGTCAAAACATGCCAACAAAATAGGGACATATGGGTATATAATTACATTGCACGGGTTATAATTATAAATTGCATTCTCATATAAAACACTATAATCATTAAATTTTTGTGTTTTTTTTAATGTTTAATAATCGATAACTTTTGATAACAATATAATATAATTCAAGTTTTTTTGTTTTTGTTTTTGTTTTCGTTTTTTTTTTGAAAAGAAATTCAAGTATTTGTTTCAATTAAAAATATTTTTTTTTTTGAAAAAAAAATTATTGTTGTATTAACATTATAATTCACTGATTCATAATTTGATTAAGTAAAAACTGTGCGTTGCACGAGATTTAAACTCGTTTATTCATTATTTGGGAGTAGGTTTTTTTTTTATTATTATTATTTTTTATTATTATTTTTTTTATCATTTTAGTTAGGAAAATTTTGTAAAAATGATTCAAAATTTCACGTATTAGCGTTAAATAATGCCAACTTTATATTATTTATTTTTAGATAATTTGAATTTTGGCACATATTCATTTTCATTGGTCCCAACCGGTCATCAATTAGTTATATTATACTACTATACTTATAGTCTTATACGAGTACCATGCAAAATATAGCTACTCGTAATATTTTTTTTTTTATTTTTATTTTTCCACAAATGTATTCACAAGGTGCAAACGTATAGAGTAAAAACAAGGTTAGTGTAAAGGGTGCACGACTCATATTATTAAATTAGTCAACACGATACGACATGCCGAGATTTCCAGCATGAAACTAACACGAATCAACTTGTTTAAGAAAAATAGTTATTTTATCAAATTAAAGATAAATATTCTAAACAAAACTAAGTTATTAACGTATAACACGACATTACGATATAAAGTAAAAAAAATTGTTAGAATTTTTTGTCACTTTTAACTAAACGATTAAAAATGATACATATTGTTTAATCATAAATTTAGCTTGAGTTAGGGTTAAGGTTTTCAACTTGATTAATAATTTAGTATAAGGATGAGCATGAGCACAAATACAAGCCGATGCGACACGTTTAGACATATTACGGAGTATAAATTTACCAATTAAGCGATTACGCGATAGGAAGACCTAATTTACGGTAGGACTAATGATAAATAAAGAAGAATTAAAAAAACCAGAAAAACGAAAAGGGTCAAGGTGTGAAAATTAGACAAAGAGGAAAAGAAGAAGGTTAAACACTAAACAGGGACAAAGACAAGGACACAGACAACAACGGAGGAAATTAAAGAGGGCAAAAATTTTATACCCAAAAAATAAAAATAAAAAATAAAAAAATTCGAGGAGAGAGAAAAAGATCGAGAAAGATAGAGAGAGAAGAGGAGAATCGAGACAGATTGATGGGATTTGTATGCTGCTTCTGCTGATGATAAGTTTGAATACAACAACAAAAAAAATTTAATTCCCCCCTTTTTTTTTTTTATTTGGATTCGACATTCGATCTTTTCTTTTTTTAATTTTTGTATGATTAATTTTAGGTAAATAATTCGACATTTTGAGCTAGTGCCCAGATTCGATTCTGTTGATAATTCCCTCTTTTGCATCAAACCCTTATCCAAAAATCCGATTTTTAATTGACCCATTTGCAAGAATTTGATTATATAGTTTTGGTGGGTTGATGAATTTTTCTGGGTTTGTGTTATTTTGGGGGGTTTGAGGTTGTAGGTTTTTTTTCCTTGATTTTTTTGGGGAAAATAAGGTTATTCTACTGAATGGGTGATTTTCGAGAACCAAACGGTGTCGTTTTGGAAGAATCTCCGGTACCATCATCTTCTTCTTCTCTTTCTCTCTCCTCTTTTAGCCCGGAAGTGTGGGCCCGGGCCGAGCAGGCGACCCATGAAATAATATTGCAGGTTCAACCCACTGTTGTATCTGAGGAGAGGAGACGAGATGTTGTTGATTATGTTCAAAGGCTTCTTAGAAATTGTCTTGGTTGTGAGGTTAGATATTTTCTGCATTTTATTTCTTTGCTTGATTAATTAATTGTTTGATTGATTAATCCCTACTATTTATGTTTTTTATAGTGTATGTAAATTGATTGTACTTGTGTTTTTGTTATTTTTGATGATTGTGTATCTTTTGTTCAATTTGTGGGATGTTTGTGAATGCTGGAAAAAGGGTTGAGTGATGAATATGAGTAGGGTTTTAGATAAGATTAGTTGTTTATAAAAAGTTCGAGGAAGGAATTCGATGATTGGCAGCTGAGGGTGGATTTATTTCGAATAGCTATTGTTGTCACAGTAGGTTATCATTGGGTGAGTGATTTGTTGAGATGCTTTATGAATGTAATTATTCGCGGGTGTGTGTTAAGTGCGTGGTAATCTGCTGAAAGGATGGTTCTGGCTGTCCTTTGGGGTTCTTCAGCTTGTTTCGTCAAATTATCCTGCATGATTTTACGAGGACCATGACACAAGTGTGATTTGTGTATGGTTCTTACAAATAGATGGTTGTTGGCTAGATCCTTCATGAGAATATGGTTCTTAAGCATAGATATATGCTTTTGAAGTCTTGCATGGTGATGATTATGGCTGGATTCGTAACATGTTTGACGATGAACGAGGGAATTAATCTGGGATTGATTGAATCAGTGTCCATGACATGCTATCCTGTACTAGATATGTGTGTTCTTGACTGATTGTTCTATGGAAGGGAAAAGGGTTTATGAACGAGTGTACTATTGAAGGGAAAATGATTTTTTTCTTTTGCGTATTAAAGATGGTTATTAAAGGTCCTTGGTTGGGATAATTTTCTGTCAGAATGAAGCTTCTGAGGTATTCCTTTTTCATATGATATCCTCCCCTCCCAAGATTCTTGTTGATTAATTTTGGATCAATGGGACAATGGCTGAATACAATGTATGAATCTTCTGATAATGCTCATTTTTGGTGAGTTTGGTTGGATAATTTTTTGTCAAATCCTTTCGTCCATTGGCTCGATATGAACTGTACTGTAGGCCTCATGTTTCCTGATAGAAATTGGTTTTGTAGAGGATTTAGATGGGTTTGCAAGGAAATCTGAGCCTCTCCATTGGGACTTATGATTGATTGTTTTTTTTTTTTTTTTTTTTAATATAAAATAATTCTAGAATTGTGGCTTTATGTCGAAAGTGCCGCATTGGAACCTACTTAAGAGAAGCTCTACATATTAAAACTATTAACTTGTTGATACATTATTCAAAAAAAAAAAAAAAAAAAACACTGAACTTGTTGATTCAGTGGTTAGATGGCTGCGCTCTCAAAACTTGCGGGCATTGTTTGGGATTTTGTTTTTAAGTCTATATGCATTGTATTTTGTTGTTAACTCTTGCATTATTCTAATGGTTCCTATATTCTAACCAAGTAAAACTCTATTTCACTTGTAGTCCTACTCACAGAAAAATCTAAGTCATCTTCCCTTGGATTGCTTCCTGTAATACATGTTTGAGAGCACCTTTATATAATATGGATTTTCATGGCTGTAGTGTTTGTGGGTTTTTGGTAGCAAGGGATATCTATCTATGTCCTAATGAGCAAGTTTTCGATGGGAGTCATTATACTATATTTTAGTTCAATAGTTTTTTTTTTTTTTTTTTTTTTTTTTTTTTTTTTTTTTTTTTTAATAAAATTGGTTAAATGGTCCTTGTCTAATCACATCGCTTACAAGTCAGAAGCTTAAAAATCATTGACAGATTGCTTCGAAGATAACATAATTAATGGTGAAATGAATAACAGTGGAACATTGGATGAATTAGACACTATGCTGGAGGGATGTGGTGAAATTACTTGGGTTAATATTAGGGGTAAGCAGGAGCTTGGAGTAAATATACAGTGAAACTCAGTGAAACTCATAGCTATTGCTTGTTGAGGCTGATCCATGGATTTTATAGAACACAATGGTGCTAAAATTTCACTGAAAAGTATATGTTTTGTAGCCTTTTAACCAATTTTATGTTATCATCATGGTATGCTAAAGGAGTTGTTGTCCATATAAAATTAAGAAGCGGTGTAAAGCTAGTAAATGTGCCAATTCTGTGACGTTTCAGCTTTTTTTTCTTAAGGCACTTTCATGTACTAATTCCATCCTCTATGTCCTTGACAATTACTATTCTCATAAGAACTAAGACAAAAAGAAGAGAATTAAATAGTGGGCAACATGTGGCAAATGCATGGAATCGGGGCAATTCATGATAAGCTATTGAATAAGTGGGGTGGTTGTGTGGGGTAAGGGAGGATAGAATAATAGTAGGGTGATTGTGTAGGGTATGGGAAGATAAAATAATAAACAATCATTGCCAAAAAAGGAATAAATTTAAAGTTTAAAGAACAAAAAGGAATTGACTTGTGTGGAAAGCATAAAGAACAAAAAGGGACAGAGGTAGTATAAAACTGCGAATTCCGCCCAATGGAATCCCTAATTTTTTTGCCCCTGTAAAATTGAAGGAGTATCCTCTCCCCTTTTAATGTTGAGATCTAATCTTACTCTTGAAATGCAGTAATTCTCTTCCTTCTCATTACTGACCACCATTATCTCATAATTTGCCTTACTCTTTCCTAATCTATATTAATATCAAACTTTCACTCGCAACTTTAGCAAATGAGAAGGGAGACAAAAGGGTTCTCTACGGCAAGGAAGTTTGTGCAACTGCTAATGTCTATGGTTTCACAGATTATAATATTGAATTCATTAATTGAGAGAGAGTGATTATGGTTTTTTTAGCCAAGGTAGTGTTAAAATGTATAAATGAATTAGCTGGCAGGTTTGTAGCTTATATTTTCAGAAGATTGTAAGTCACAATATTCCGTATTAGAAAAGTAGTAATTGGCAAATATGAAAAATCATGTCCCTTTGATTAGATGTCAAATTACCAGGTTCTCTAAACAATGATTCTATGTGAAGGCTTTTAGCATTTATGGAAACAGGTTCAATGGGTCAAGTGCCCATGAAGATTTTTTTACTTTCTATTTGGAGTCATCAAACCACCCATCCTATCTTCTCCATCTTCTTTCACATATCAGAGTGTATCTGATGTGGTAGAACTTAGAAGTGTGTCCCAAAGCATGTGCATAACGTTCAATGTTTTTGCAGGAAAACATGTTATAGTAATATTGTTGGAAAAAAGTGTCATAAGAAGCACTTGTTCCTTTACAAGCTTAGGTGGATATAATTATATCTGAACATGGATAGATCTGCTCCCTCAGTTGTACCATTTGGCTGGATGAGGTTAAGTATATATCTTTGAATATCGAATTATATTCCTTAAGGTTTATATCTTGAATCTACTTGAGGCATTACCAACTAGGTGGTTCAGCTATAGAATCATTGCTAGAAAACTTTAGCATTGATGGTTTATGAAGGAAGCACCGTATTTTTCTTGCTTTGGCGACATAGATAGCCTGAAAGAATTATCTCTTGAATCTACTTGAGGCTTTACCAACTAAGTGGGTCGGCTACAAAATCATTGCTAGGAAGGAAGCACCGTATTTTTTCTTGCTTTGGTGATATTGCTAGCTTTCACTCTTCTATTTTATAATTCCTTACTCTTCCCCCTTCTGCAGTTCCGCCTTTGTTTTGGCCGGGGCGGGGGAGCTGGTAATTAGACAAAATCAGCTTTTTTATTTTTTATTTTTTTATATATATTTTTTTATTGTTGTTGTTGCCCTACATCTAATGAAGAGAATTGTTTTCTTCAATCCTTCTCCATATTGGGAAATTCCTGCATTCTGTAGTTATGGTGTTATGGTGATTGTTAATTGCTGTGACTTGAACATTACGCCGATTAGGGCAAAAGGCTTGTTACTGTGTATGTTAGATTGGGAAGGACAGCATAATAAAAGAGGATGAAGTACAGACTGCAGTGCTAGTTGTAAGTAAAGTCATAGTGAAATTAAAGATTTAATAATCAATATATTATGTGTAGGAGGACACAATTTTTGTGTATTTAATACAATTAAGTTGTATGTATTAATTGGGAAATCAAGAAGCTAATTGCTTCCAGTACAATTGGTTTATTATTTTTTCAAGAAAATAGGGATTACTCTTGCTCTAGATGTGCAAAGATGCATATACTGACATGACATACTCATAACTATGCTTTAACATTGACTTGAGTATTGATCATATTTTTCTTACTGTCATGCGAAAGGATGATATATAAGTTGGAGCTATTGTATAGGCTCAACTTAACTCTTAGCATAATTGGAGCTATTCAAGAAGCTTTATGTTTATTGCACATTTATAATTTTAATTTTAATTTTTTTTTCAATTTTTTTTTCCCCATTAACTGGACATCATGTGTAATGTTTCTATAGCTGCAACATGGTCTTACATACGTGATGATATTTAGCTGTCTAAAGCTGACTTCTATTTTTGATGTTGTCAGATTTTCCCTTTCGGATCAGTACCATTGAAGACATATCTTCCTGATGGGGACATTGATCTTACTGCATTTTGTGGTTTTAATTTTGAGGAAGCGTTTGCAAATGATGTGTACACTGTTCTAGTAGAAGAAGATCGTAACCCTGCCTCCGAATTTGTTGTAAAGGATGTGCAGTATATTCGTGCAGAGGTCTATCTTTTAACTTAATATTTAATTGGTGGCCATTTCTTTGTCCATAAGATTGATCTTTTTAATGCTGCTTTAGGAATAGATACAATGATTGTACAATGCTGTGAGTTAAACTATACTCTTTGGTCTTTCCCCCCTATTGGAATCAATTATACTGTTCATTCATACTCTTTACATTCCATATCTATTCCCTTGCTGGTTACTTTCAATCACTTTGTTATATGCATATTGTGCTCCACTAAGATTTTGGTGCTTTATTTTTAGTAAAACCTTTTATATTCTGATAGTTTTCATGCTTTGTCTCTTTTCTGTATTTTTATGCCCAATCCATTGTTTTTAACCAAGTGTTTGCTCTTAACCAAGCGTGAATGATTAGTTACCAATCTAACTTGGTGGAGATGGTGGTAAATTTACCTTGTGACTTTTGGGTCACAAATTTGAGCCTCACCTTCTACTTGTTCTTAGTAGTGGAGATTCCCTCACCTTCCCTCCCTACTCTCAAGCGTTGACTCGTGTAGCTAGGTTCGTTGACCCTTGAGAGGTACTGGTTCACTATAAAGCGTGAAGGATTGTTTGTTAATATAAAACAAAAGAAAAATAGAAAAGTGAAATGAGTTGAAAAGCCTATTTAGTCCTCGTTTGTTTTCATTATGTATATGCAATTCCACGCGCACACACACACACACACAATCACTCACACTCACGCGTGCGCGTACACACTCACTCACACTCACGCGCGCGTGTACACATGCACAATATATGTCATGCCATTTCTGATTATTGTAACAATACCTAATAATTAAAGGTTATCTTTACTTTGTTGCTATGTTTTCTTTAACTGTAGTTGGATCATGGTAAATGAATTGTAATTAATGGAACAAACATGTTTAGATAAAATGATGTTATCTGATTGAACATAGGGGTTCTAATTCTATATCATTTCATTGATGAAGGTTAAGAAAGACAATTTATCTAGTTTTGAGAGAATAAATAGGTGTGGTTGTTCTGAAGGATCTTTAAAAAGGAAGTTTGCAGCTGGCAAGTGAACACTTTTATGTCTAAAACAAAGCCTTAGTCCCAAAATGAATTGGGGCCGGCTAACATGAATCGTCTGAAGGAACTGTATGAAAGGGATCAAGAGCATAACAAGATAATCATTGAATAAAAGCTTTTTAAAAACAGGTGTTTAAAGTGAGAAACAGAAAGAGTATACAAATAAATTTTAAGAGAGTTTTATTAGAGTGGTAAGGGGATAAAAAGGAGAAGAGAAACATGCGAGTAAAAAACATAAAGGTTTGAGAAACGTTAGCAGAGGAAATATGTAAAATTCGCAAAACACGAATTGGGTCAATAATAGAAGTAAGTACTAAAATAAAGTAAACCAAAGTGTACGTGTATATATGTTAAATTATTACACAACCTGGATGTGAATTTTCTTCCTCCACTACGCCCTATCCAACACCATATTTTCCCCAATCCTTAAGGCACTCATATCACTCTCAATCACCCTCTTCTAAGCTTTCTTAGGTTTCCCCTACCCCTCATGATCCACTGATCCCAACTCTTTGCCACTCTTCAATCCTCCTTACTAGTGCTTCACTTGGTCTGCTTTTTACAAGTCAACATGTTTACAGAGTTAAAATTGGATTGCTGTTTTTGGTTTGGCATGGTCAATTAATTCCCCAGTGTGATGTGTCTCTTTTCTGAAGATGGATATCCAAGGACTTTTCATAGTTTTGTTGTCTAGAGACTATTGAGCCTAGACACTCCATGTTTTAGCATGACTAAAAGGATCGAGAGCTTACATATCCTTATTTTCCCTCTTTGCTGTTATGCTGTGAATTGAGTTCTTTCCGTAGTTATTACCTTATATATGCATCATTATCGTCGTGAAGTTATTATAATGTGACTATTGTATAAACAGAAAGTAATTTCATAATGTGATGTTGTGGTTAAGGTTTTGTCTTTGATTTGTGATGCTGTTAGTTTAGCTTCCTTTTGAAAGAGTAGTAGTTTAGGCAGTTTCAAAGGCAATACTGATGTGATGTAGAAAATTGGAAAAAAAAAAAAGAAAAAGAAAAGAAATTTTTGTTAATGTTGATTTTTTTTTTTTTGTTTTTTTTTTTAAAAAAATATGGATGTTAGCTTTACTTCAGCAACATGTGACACACATTTTAGAAAATTCCTTCATCTTCAATCTCAAAATTTAGTTCCTGCTGTCTTAGAATATCTAATACCCTTTGCTTACCCTTTCCCCCCCCCCAGAAAAATACGTGATCTGTTTATGGTTTGGAATTTCTGTTTGCAGGTTAAGCTTGTAAAATGCCTGGTACAGAATATTGTTGTAGACATATCGTTTAATCAAATAGGAGGGTTGTGCGCGCTATGTTTTCTTGAGGAGGTCCGTTCTTCTTAACCTTTGAGATTTCTAATGTCTTATGAGTCTGGAATGCAAATTTCTGTGAAAAGAGTATATGTTGTGAAAAGAGTATACAATCTTTCAAGCCATTTTATTATATCCAATTGAAGTGCACAATTCATTTTTGGGGTTCCTTGGACATGGATACTTATGAAGCATGGAGATTCCCATGAAGGTCATGTTTCCAGTTTCCCAAACTTGGAACTCAAGGAAACTGTGGGGGTAAACATTTTCTTTGAATGAGTAGAATCGTTCAAGGATATTCAGTCGCCCAAAATGATGATTTATTTCTGAAGTCTTTTTAATTAGATTAGCTTTCATGCCCTTTGTCTCACAATATTTGTGAAAATTATACAAACCATTTTGGATTTTAATCAATTTTTTTAATTTTATTTAATGCTTTAGTTTTTGCATTTCCACGTTTATAATTGTAAGGAAATCTCGTTTCCATGTTTCTACGTTATTATTTTCATTAACTCGTCTCTGAAGTACATACCACTGGGCTGCTTAGCTCATTCTTGGGTGAAGAGCATAAGTTTGCATACGTCTTAGTATCCCACTATCAATCTATCATAAAAGGTTGCTTTGATTGGAACCTCAATGTGATGGTAGTCGGCGATACAAAATTTATGGTATCATTAGATGTATTTTGGTTCCCTTTTCTGCCAAGAAACTATAACAAATGATTATCATTTTGTTGGTTAAATCTTGAAAGATTACTTTTAAAAATCTAGAATCCTCCATTTTCTGCCAAGAAACTATAACAAATGATTATCATTTTCTGCTTTTTATACTAGAGTTGCTATTATTTTTGCATACTTCTCTGAGGACATGTCAATTAGTTATATTTAACTCAAATGTAAGGTGCTCACTTACTTGTAGGATAGTTCAACTTTTTTGTGTCGTGATTTTTATTGACATAAATTGACTTCTTGATTCGTTGTGACATTGTTTACTTCATATAAATTTATATTGATATCATTGCAGGTGGATCGATTAATTGGCAAAGATCATCTATTTAAGCGCAGTATCATTTTGATTAAGGCCTGGTGTTATTATGAGAGCCGTATACTGGGTGCACATCATGGTTTGATATCTACATATGCCTTGGAGACGCTGGTTTTGTACATTTTCCATCTCTTCCATTCATCTTTGAACGGTCCTTTGGCAGTAAGTCAATCATGGATTAAAAGTTATTTCAGGGCATTGCCTTGTGGTGCATACTAAATTAATTTGACTATTTTAGGTTCTACATAAATTCCTAGACTACTTCAGCAAATTTGACTGGGAAAACTTTTGTGTGAGCTTAAATGGTCCAGTACATGTATCCTCGTTGCCGGAAATAGTGGGTAAGAAGCTACAAATGGGTATTCTGCTAACCGTAAATGTCTTAGGTCATTAGAATGCTCATTCTTGTAGTATATTGGACTTTGCAGCTGAGAGTCCAAAAAGCAGCGGGGATGATTTATTGCTGAGTGATGATTTTTTGAAGGAGTGTGTGAAGAAATTCTCTGTCCCCTCCAGAGGAAATGAGACAAATTACAGGACATTTATGCAGAAGCATCTTAATATAGTTGACCCTCTTAAAGAAAATAACAACCTTGGCCGCAGTGTCAGTAAAGGTATATGACTTTTTTTTTTTTGTCAGTTCATTATTTTATTTCATTCTGCTGAATAATATGAAAATCAGTCCATTCTCTACAGAACCTCAACTAGAATTCATATGCTTCTGCTGATAAATTTTGCATGTAGAAATTCATGGCATCTAAAATCAGCATTTCACTTAATTTTACAATTAAAGGATTAAATCTTCTTTTGTTTTTACCTCTTCTATTTTGACTGAATTGCCTGTATTGTTTGTTTGACAAGCTCTGGAACATAAGTAGCGTTAAACTGTTGGATTCCTGGCTACTACATATTAATATGAGAAGAATATCTGTGAAACTATAGGACATTTGAGACACTTTTGGTGCATGCATGGAAGTGAAAGTGATGACTTCATATTGAGGGGCTGCCTTGACAATTCGATATATCTGGAGCTGTTGGGATACAGATTCTGAAATTGCTCTATATTGGTGTGTCTGAATTTCCTATTATGATTTTCTATAATTTGACATTGCCTGCTCAATTTGTGCAGGGAACTTCTTCCGCATAAGGAGTGCTTTCACATATGGAGCTCGTAAACTTGGTCAAATTCTGTTGCAGCCTCAGGAAAGCATAGCTGAAGAAGTCCGTAAGTTTTTTACTAACACACTGGATAGACATGGAAAAGGACAGAGACCTGATGTTCAGGATCTTGTGTTAACACCTGGGTGCAATGGGTTTGCCCCGGAGGTTTTCATATCTGTTGCTGAGTCCAGGTTAGATGATACTTGTGCTCTTGAAGAAGTACCTGTCGATTTCAATGACCAGTCCACTGGATATTGTATAGGATCTTGGGATACACGACATGGTGTAGTCAGTAAATTTAGAAGGCCTGGAACCTATATGGAGAGGATTGAAATTGAAAATCGTAGGGGTGTAAATGGAGCAGATCCTTGTAGAACTCTGCCAGCATCTCAGTCATCTGAGAATGAACTTTCTGCTTCTGCAAGCCGTCATTCTGGTGATGCCATTGATCTTGCAACATATGGGATTCAGGATCTTAGAATAGCTGATCATAGTCATAAACCTTCCCCATATACAGAAGAGGATAAAAAATCTCCTTTACCTAACATAGATCATGCATCTAATTCTAACCTAATTCCTTCACAGCCCTTTGAGAATGGAATGATGGAAAATGGATATTTAGATGATGAGCGGCCCACAGATTCTTCTCTTTCAACTATCAGTAAGAAATTTACTGGACGACCACACACATGCCATGATGGTAGAAACTTAGCATCTGGGGAGCAGGAAAATATTCATTTATGCAATAACCTGGTGTCAGACTCTAGTTATTCATCTATGAACGTGAGTGCTCACTGCTTGGGAGATTCACATTATGTTTATCGGAATAAATTTTCCTCTAAGCCTGCTGGAAGCCATGAAGCAACGATACTCCACCCTGACCTATCAGGGGACGTTGACAGTCATCTTGAAAATCTGGGATATGGACGGTGGTGGTTCGATCATGGGTTGCAAATGACCATGCAGCCCATTCATCTGACCCTGCCTCCTGTGTTCCCACCCAAAATTCCGTGGGATGTAATTCGGCATTCGGTGCATTTCAGGCGGGATGTTGTCCCACAAATGAATGCCTCCAGACCTGCCTTCTTTCCCATGAATTCTCAAGCAGTACATGGTACTTATAATGTGGATGAGATGCCAAAGGCTCGAGGGACTGGAACATATTTTCCCATAACGGTATACACAGTTTAGCTTCTGGATTATTATACTTCATATTTGTTAGTTTATTTGCTACACGGGGACATATTTCCACCGATATCAATGTCATTGTCTACTCTTTTTTCTCTGTTTGTCGAAACTGATTCTTGCTTCATCATTTTGCAGAACCATCACTCATACAGAGAAAAGCCCTTTGTAAAGGGAAGGTCTCAGGGACAATTGAAGTCTCCTAGGACCAATGGCCGTGGTCCAGCATCTCTAGATAGAAGCTCACAGGTACAATCTCCCGGTCGTCCTGGCGTTGGGAGGCCGAAGTCTTCGGATTACTTTGAAAGTTCACCTAGGGGTAAGGTCTACAAAGAAGTCAATGGATTTGTTCATGCTTCTGAGAAGGCTGTTGAATCTCTTGCTCCTGGGCACCCGCCATTGGAAGCCGCCTTCCAAGATACAGAGAGTTGTGAGCCACTCGATTCAGTCCCCTCTCCTGGAAGCCAAAATGGAGAGAGTGTGTTTATTGTGAATGGTGACAGGTACTTGAATCTCTTCCAACAAAATCAACAAACTTAGGGTGTGTTCCTTATCAATTCCCCTATTTCTATTCTTAAAACTTTTTTTTTTCTTTTTTGGAAAAGAAAAAGGTTGATTTTAGATTTTGTCATCAGTTTGTCAAGTTAACATTATAGACTAATTTCCAGCCTGTTACACAGCTAATATCATACAGCTTTTGAAATACTTAAAATCAGCAGTTATATCAAACTAGTTTGGCAAGAAAGCTCGCTGTTAATAATATTATTTTTCCTGTGTTGGAACTTGTAGGCTCACTCTGCAGTCTTACCACCTTAAAGACGATGAGGACTTCCCCCCTTTGTCTGTTTGACAGTGGCGTAGCTGAAAGCTTGAAACCTCATAGCAGAAACTAGAGGTTTTTCAGCCAGGGGTTTAATTAGAGGCATTTTTGTACATTTTACGAAATTGTGTTGCATTATGTTGAGTTTTCGTAGCTCACAGTTAAAGAGCTATATTACAGTTAGGAACCTAGTTGATGATTCTAACGCCGTTTTTGGTAATCCTTGTTGCATTTGTAAATAAATTTTGAAATGCAAATCTTGTAGATGTTTAGTGTATAACTTCATATACGAGTATCGAAGGAGTGTATTCTTTCTGAAGCTGGAATACTGCTTACAAACCCTTTGATCAATGTGCTGATAATAGTGAGTTTGGGTGCCACTTCCCTGGCTTTTACCAAAGTTTCCTTACAATTTAGATTTGAGACACTTCTATTCCAAATAAATCCCACAATTGCATTATTGTTTTTTTATCAAAGAGCATTTTCAGTAGATTTGTGACACTTCTGCTCAGATTCATGACTGAATTATAATGCTCGTGTCGCGAAAACATTGGTCGAACACTATATTAAATGTTGATCATTAATCCTTTGTATTACATACATTTTATTAAGGACTGTCAATGAATTATTGGACCAACATTATAAAATAAAATGCTTAGTAAACAGATCTTCCTTCACACAACAATTCTTTTATAGTGAAATAAAAATAATTTTTTGAGTACACATCTTCCTTCACACTACAATTCTTTTATAGAGAAATCAAAATTATTTATAAAAAACACTAATAATATACTACATTAACTTTTGAAATGTTGGGCTGAAATTCATATATTTGACCTTTGAGAATTATAATGTTTTCTCAAAAATTATTAGGAGTCTTTTTCTGGTAGAAAATATTCCTCTATTTTAATTTTAATGACATGCTTATGATCATCAATTAAAAATAGCAGGATATACTAAAAAGTCCAATCAATATAATTATAAGTTATAAAACGGCTCTTCCATAAGATATAGGACCTCTGTATGGATCGTTTTAAAGTATTCTTACTCCCATAATTGGGGGATAATTAGTATTATAATGTACAGAATATATAATATCATTATGACTAATACAAAGCTGCCATGTATATTAGTATATATACTTTCCTTGGATTAAATTAGGGTAATCATACTTACGAATATGAATTTTTCCTTATTTTTATTTTTTTGAAAACAGGTATTTTTTATTTTTATTTTTTTTAAACAACTACGATTGATAATAGAAGAGTTATAGACCAAATTTCACCTCTACCATCAATCCTATGAAGGAAGTTTAATTTTAGGGAAAATACAAGTTAATCTACCAGATAATCAAATTTTTGTTAATATATTGAAAAAGCAGGGTCATTTATTCAGTACTTTTGGTGAGCTGTTCAATCACTGTTTGCAACTTGATTTTACTGTTTGGTGAGGAAATTACACATGTACCCCTCAACTAATACATGAAAAGACGCATATACCCCTCCACTGGTACTTGAAAAGACAATTATACCCCTAGATAAACAAATTTTGTTTATCTGGGGAATTAACTGGGTACAGCTCCTAATTTTAAGATCAAATAAATATTTTAAATGATTGGCACAGCCAATGAGGTTTTTTTTTTTTTTTTTTTTTTTTTTTTTTGACAAGAGCAAAATCCTAAATTAAGGGCTTGTTTCGATTGACTGAACTCAGCTGAACTGAACTGAACTGAACTGAATTGAGCTGAACTGAACTTATTAATTAGTGATTTTTAACTACGGATTAGTGATCTTTGATTATTTATTACTATACATATGTGTATATACAAATGTACATATTATTATTAATATTATTATTATTATTAATTATTGATTATTATTATTATTATTATTATTATTATTATTTATTGATTATTATTATTATTATTGTTATTATTATTATTATCATTATTTATTGATGATTATTATTATTATTTATTGATTATTATTATTATTATCTATTGATTATTATTATTATTATTATTTATTACTTATTGATTATTATTATTATTGTTGTTGTTGTTGTTGTTGTTGTTATTATTGTTGTTGTTGTTGTTGTTGTTGTTGTTGTTGTTGTTGTTGTTGTTGTTGTCGTCGTCATTGTAATAAGAGCTTAAAAGAATGAAATTTGGCTTTATCTCATTATCAATATCATTAGACGTAAATTAAGAGCTGAGCTGAACTGAACTGAATTTCAACGGAAGAGAACATGCCCTAATTATAAACTAAATTACACATTAGAACATTAGGGATAGAAAATGAGGGATTATTTTTGTTGTTGATGTATCTTCTTGGTTGAAAGTTGAAACTAATAAATTATTTTCTTAAAAAAATTCAAATACATTCTTTATTCTATCTCAAACTATAATTACAGACTCTACACTTTTATTAAAGTACTCCATATATACTTTGTATGACAATTCTATCAGCATAATTATTATAGTAAAAAATATACACTTTTAAAAAATTTACACCTTTTTTTCACCTTTGCTCACATAAAATTGTTAGTTTTAACGTCTACAAATATATATTTGTAGAAATTTGGTGTTTAGAAAGTATACACCTAGAGACAAAACTAACAAGATTTTATATGATTATATTATTTATTTTTATATAAAATATATGTTAATATGTATCACAAACGACTTGACGAGGGTAGAGTTTGTGACCGATACAAATTACAAAATCTCAAGTATACTACTCCGTATTTGTGAAGAATAACGATTTTGTTTCTTGTATTAAAAAATAAGCCGTGAGTAAAGAAAATTTATAAGCCAAATTTTATACTCTACTTTTGCGCAGGGCCTCAAAAAAGATTGGGACGAACTTGTATATGTATCACAAACAACTTGACTAGGATACAAATTACAAAATCTCAAGTGTACTACAGTATTGTTTTGATTTTGAAACAAATAGATAAACGCTAAAATTGAATCTCTAAAAGTAAAAGGATTTTGTATTATAGGTAGAGCAATAATCCAACATGACAAATTTCACTTAGTTTTTAGATTCTCCAACCCTTAAAATCAAAAAGTTTGAAGTATTATTGGTGGTTGTCAATTTATCAAGACAAATGGGTCCAAACACAGTTAAAGTAAACCAATAAATAAGTCAAAAACATTAAGAGAATACTTTTGAAAAAAAAAAATATATAGATTTTTATAAAATGTGAAGGTTCACCTACCAAATGTATTGCAAAATTAGATGTAGGCCATATTTGGCAAATGTCACAAACAACTCGAGTGGAGAATACTATTTTTAAGTCACTTACTACGTGTTTATTCATAGTAGCATCCATGTTTATGTTCATAGATTCTTTTCAATAAAAAACATTAATTAGAAATATACCACCTGCCGGCAATTTATGCGTATAATTTATATCTATTTGTTTATTTTCGATAAGATAATGTGTATAATTTATTGCTAATGAAAGAATTTTTTTTTTTTTTTTGAAAGAGTTGATGAAAGAAATTATAAATTTGATTTAGTGATTTTGACAATTATTATTAATTTTCACAATTTTTTTAGATACCATCCTTTTCATTTAATTGAATACTAAATTGGTATGGTAATAGTGTCCAAGTGTCCAATTTTATTTTTTAAAAAATATTTTGATTTAAAAAAAAAATTAATCAAATACCCCTTAGACTTTAATTTGAAATATTATACCACCAACATTTTTTAAATCCACCATATAACCATCAGTTTAACAAGAATTTCATCACATACCATAAGTGACTAACGACGTTAGTTTCGCTAGTAATCAAGTTTAGTTATGCCATGTAGCAGTCTATGATTGGTTGTCATTAAATTATTTAACTAATTAATTATTTAATTTTTTAAGAAAAACCCCACCATCGTGCCTAGCCCTCTTCCCCACTCCGGCAGCCGACCACCGCCCTGCTCCCACACCTCCAACTCTCAGCAGGCCCCTCCCCCACTTCGGCGACCGGCCACACCAGCTTTTCACCGTTGGCTCACCCCCTGCCTTTCCTCCTTATGTCGACCCTCCCTTTCCCTCGTCGCGCCACAAGCCAAACCCTAACCTGTCACCCACGCACCCTAAAAACCACCAACTCTCCCTCCAAAAACCCTCCTCTAGCATCGGTCGACGCCTAAACCCCCCTCACCAGCGTCAGCGAACATAATTTACCCCTGCTCGTGCCATCTCCACCCCACTGAACCACCACGTATGCCAAAACCCTAAAACCGAAATTTTGGGTTTCTATTTCAATGTTTTAGGGTTTTGGGGTGATGGTTTATACTAAGTAGGCGGCGATGACGTGTGGGAGGGGGTATGGGCTACCGACGCAGGGATTTCGGCTAAGGTGGAAAGGTGAGGAGGGTTTTTTTGGGTTCAAGGGGGGAGGGAATTTAAGGAGAGGTGTGGTGGGGAGGGGGAAGGGAGAGGGCTAGGGTTCGCGGTTGTCACTGGGGGGGGAGAATGGATGGGTGCTAGCCAGCCGGGAAGTGGGCTAGGTACCGCCCTACCAGGGGTAGGAGTAGGGGACGGCTGGGCTGGCCGACTAATGATGTTTTTTTTTTTTTTATAAAAATTTGTTTATAACTTTCTATATTCGAATTATTTCTAGTTAAACAAATAATATTATTAAGAATCAATTACAAATTGTCACGTGGCATAATAAACGTTAATGACTAACTAAGTTAACGAAAATGACATGTGGTGACATTTTCGTAAAATTGATGGTTATATGGTGAATTTGAAAAATATTGATAGTATTTGATCAATTAAGTTAAAACTCATATGGTATTTGGTAAAAAAAAAAAAACGATTAATTAATTACTAATGGTTGTTGATTTAAGTTTTCAAATTCTTATATGTGGCCACTTTACATATACTTCGTAAGACAATTAAATAAATAATAGGGGTTACGGTGATGAGCAAATGGGGTTACCTTGACGTATGTGGGTTACTTAAATGAAAAAAGGGTTACTCTCTTACCTAAGTGGATTCAGTCTTTCAATTTTTTTTAGGCGTTACTCGAATGAATAAATGAGGTTACTTATTTTAAATTAGTTGATATTACTCATATAATGAATTGGAGTTACTTTAATAGACAAAATGAGGATACTCTTATGGATAAATAAGGTTACTCATATATATATAAATAAGGGTCTGTGTGGCTAGTCACATACATGACTTTTATTTTCTTGAAAAAAAAAATGTTGAAATATTATATTGCAAAAATTTGGGAAGTAGCAAGTACAAAGTAATCTAAAATTTGTAATACAACGTATGGATTGTTTGTTATTATCTAGTAAAAAAATACTTAAAAAATTCTTGAAGTAACAAATAATAATGATAAATCCCATGTCATAAGAATTTATTGCCATCGTTATTAAATTTTTCTTTCCGAATAATCCAATCTTTAGTCTTACTAGGAAAAAATATCTACAATATTGTTCATTATCGCTTTCTTATTAATGTGCAATTCACACCGAGCCAAATCTTCACAAATGGCTTGATCATCAAGTGGATCCAAACGGTTAAACATGGAAATATCGAGTCAATCTAAGTATGGCATGCTAGAATATTGATTATCTAAGGGCCTGATCTCATACGTTTATTTTCAATTCATTTCAGTTCAGCTCAGTTCACTTCAGTTCAGTTCAACTCCTAATTTCCTTCTCTTATAAAATATTCATTTTAGTTTAGTTCAGTTCAGTTCAGCTCCTAATTTCCTTCTCTTATAAAATATTCATTTTAGTTTAGTTCAGTTGAGTTCACCTGATTTCAGTCAATGAGAACAGGCCCTAAGCCATACTAGTTCGTTTAGCCCCTTTATCTAAGTGAAACTTTCTACAGAAAATGTACTCTTTCTGTTACTTATTACTTGCAACAAAGGGGTACTATTTGTGAGACATAAAATATTCCTTTGTTGCGAGTAATATGTAACGGAAAGAGTATAATAATAACATTGTCAATCAAACAAATATCTATAGATTAAGAATTGTAAGTGTAAAATTAATGTATAAGTTCCTAATGTAACTTTGTGCATCCAATCAAATGATCGCCATATCACCTAAATGCTAAAACAACTTGTTTCAAGAAAACAAGTTCAAAGTTATTTTAATAAGTTTATACTTTGTACTTGTACAAGTTTTTGTTGTCACAACGAGATTCATTCATAATTATAATAAATACTCCATATAATATAAAGTTGTGGTTTTTGAAGTGGTATCCAAAATTTTGTTTATGTGTAATGTAGTCCATTATTGTCTTACGTAGTACTTCTATTTATTTGCAATTTGTAGCTCTCTTACTCTCTAGAGTTTTGTACAAGATGTCATGTTAATATACTTTTATAACTTTTATTCCAATCAAACCCAACATTTAGGTTTTACCCTATTTATACATTAATAATTTGAAACAGACAAAGTACTTGATAGTTTAATATAATAATCTAAGCTGAGGTGTCAAAATCTGACTCGATCGACCTAAATTAAGTCTTTAAAACGGACAAAGTACTTGATAGTTTAATATAATAATCTAAGTTGAGGTGTCAAAATCTGACTCGATCGACCTAAATTAAGTCCAACCCAAAAAATATCCGATTCAGCACATGAACACAATAATTTGTATATTATGATTGAAGTTTAAAATTAGATCGAATCCAACTTTACTGAATTCCATCCGAACACCCGAATCAACTCCTCTAAATCCAAGTGGTGGGATCCCACATCCAACAAAGATTAAAATAAGGCCCCACACAATGCCAACGTAGAAAGATTACCTGCTATTTCAATCGGTTTCTATAAACACCTTCACACCGCTACTTCATTCTACTCCTTTCTCTTTTTCTGGTTGCCTCCTCTAAATTCCTATGAATCAGACAAATTTCCTGTGAAATTATTCTTCAAAATTCCAAAAAGATAAAACCTTTTCTCTGTTTTTCTTTCCACTTTTTCGGTTTTTAAGCAATCCACAAATGGCACTTTTTAATCGAGGTCGCAGATTTTTCAAGTTCAGGATTCCATGTTTTCTGAAAAATTAGTATAAACCCACAAAACCCTTTTGAATTTTGACCTTAAATTCTTGTAATTTAGAAAAAAATTCGTATTTTATCATCTGGGTTCTTTGAATTTTATGGCTTTGATTCATAAAATCAGTGCTAATAGCTACAATTACTCACCTTCAGTAGTAGAAATGGCGAGAAATTTGCTAATAATTAATTATTCGACGCTTTTCTGGTTGTGGTTGGGCGTTTTCTTCTTTGAATTTCATGAAGGAAAAACCCGGATTTTCTAGTGTTTTCTCACTTTATTTTTCTTATTAAAATTCCACTGAAAATTAATTAGATACATATATAAATACTTAGCAATTAAAAATTAGTTAAAATTGTTTGATATATAATCATGTACAATATGAGAATTAAGATTCAAAGTGGAGGAGCAAATTCTCATATGAAGTATGTTGAAGTAGATCCATCTGGTCGTTATGGACGTGTAAGTTTCTCATTTTTCCAATTTATTTCTGAGTAATTTGTGATTTATTATGTTAATTAGTCATATTGCATGTAATTGATGTTTGCACTTGATTCTTTGTAGAATTGGAACTATTTGTTTGATGTGTCTTGTTATGTTATGTTATTGGTGTATGATCTTGTGTTTTGTTCGATAGAGTAGAGGTGGCAAACGAGTTGTTTGGACATAGATAGAGTAAATTTTATAGGAAATTATTAGTTTTTCTTTCCCTTTATTTCAAGGGGATTGATTCTTGTATGGTATTCTTATGAGTTACCATGTCTTACCTTGTTCTTTGTTAAGTTTCGTAAAATCGAAAGATGGAAGTGATTAGAACTTTGTGAATTGGATGAAGATGGGAAGTGTGTAGAACTTTATGGAACGGAGGGAGTACGTTCTTGACTTAAATATTCTTCATTAGAGACAACTTGAAGTAGGTAATGAGTTTGACTTTGAGAAGATGATATGATGTATGGCTTACCATGGTTGGTGCAAGTGAGCTAACATTACAAGTTGGGATGTTAGTATCAGACTTTTTTTAGCTTAATAAAATAGGGGCTAAAACCGTTTTATATATTCTCATTATGCCTTGAAGTCGCAATCATCAATAAAATATGTATCTAGTTGTTGCTTGTTTGTTTTGCTGCTGATATGGGATTATATGACAAGGCTTTTCTGGAATGAATAATTTGGTGCAAGTGCTGGTTATTCGTATCAATGATACGGTTCTGCTATACTATTGATGTGGATCTATATGTTTGCTAATTGCTATCAATAAGTGGTGTCCTGAGAAATCAACTAGCATGATTAAACCACAAAACTTTGCAATAGCATGTCAATCTGACCTTATTTTATTGTTGTCAACCAGCAGCATAATATATTAATATCACAAGTATTGGTGGAAAGTTGGTTATTGTTGTAATAGAAGAACCCTTCCATTGTACTGCCTTTGTTTCTCAATAGATACAGCATTTTAACTTTATACGTTATTCCTACACTATATATAATAATTAATTTCGTTATTGTGGAGTTATTCAATGTATATTTTCATAATATAAATTTATTATAATTTTTATCAAAGCATAATTAAAGATGTTAATGCTCAAAGTAGTGTGTTGGAAAATGTGTACAGTTAAAGTGATGTTTCTATTGAGAAACAAAGGTGGTATGTATCTTAATGTTTCACAACTACACTTTGAATGTCAATTATGCAGTATGTTCATCTTGTGTTAATTGAGGGAGGTGAAAGTGATTATTTTGTTCTGCTTGATTCGTTGCGTACTTGTCAATTGTCATAGATGGATCCTTTGTGGGAGTCTGGGAGAGGTGGGTATTTCATTGCTAAATCTGTTGTGTGTGATTGATAAGTTATGATGATAATCTTTGTATTCAAAGCTATAGATCATACAATTGGTAGTTGTTTTTGGTTGGTTAACTGATATGTAGATGTTTGGCTGTCAAATTACCGGCAGTTCAAAGACATTCTTGGCAAAGGAGCCATGAAGACTGTCTATAGAGCATTTGATGAGGTGCTTGGAATGGAGGTAGCATGGAGCCAAGTGATGCTGAATGATGTTCTTCGTTCTCCGGATGAACTGCAACGACTCTACTCTGAAGTTCATTTGCTGAAGAACCTTAATCATGATTCTATCATACAATTTTACAACTCGTGGATAGATATTGATCGGAGAACCTTCAACTTTATAACTGAAATGTTCACCTCCGGCACTTTGAGAGAGTAATCACTAACTCTTTCCTTTGATTAATATGTGGATCTGTAGTAGGACTTATGCAGTTGTTCTCAATCTCTTTCCAATACTTTTTTAGACTTATTCATTTGAAATACGTCATTGAAGTGTATACAATAAGATAATATTTTTGAGATTAAGGAAAACTTCACTGATTCTGACAAGTAGCATTACATTCACATTACTACAGATAAGTAATTTACAATGGTTTTTTTACTTGACCAAATAAGTGTCTTAGAAATGGCATTTTTACTACATAAATCTCATGTATTAAATTACTAAAAATATTTTTGTGGCATCTTAGTGTTTCTAGATTCTTCAATATTTATGACATCAGAAAGATTATAGGCTACAATGAGATTAAGAATAATTATATAAATTAGTAATTTGATCAAGCATACTGTGATAGATACTAACCCATTCAACTCCACATCTTATATTATAGGATACCATTAATAACTAAAGCCTAAAGGCCACTAATTAATGCTTTGTGTTGTGGCACTTTGATCACAGATATAGGCAGAAGTATCAGCAAGTTGATATTCGAGCTATCAAGAATTGGGCCCGTCAAATCCTCTGTGGTCTCGTCTATCTGCACAGTCATGATCCTCCGGTGATACATAGGGATCTCAAATGTGACAACATTTTTGTCAACGGCCATCTTGGACAGGTGAAGATTGGTGATTTGGGGTTAGCAGCGATTCTTCGCTCAAAACATGCCCACAGTGTTATAGGTCAATCTCCTGCTCATATCTGTTATAACTAGCTCTGACACATGTATACAATTGGGAGGGTTTTAGGGAAGACTGCGAATGGAACTTGAACTTTCAATTGGCTTTTTGCCATCCTCTGTCTTAAGGATACTTCTCATTTTGATTTTATATGAATTTACACTAAGTTACTCAGAGGTTTTAACCTGTTAAGCTCTAATTTTAATTGATTTACTCAAACTAATGCAAAGTATAATATTTCTAACTACTCTTCTATTCTTTGTTATGTTTTAAATGACATCATTATACAACACTTCTTTTGCTAGTAATTCTGTGGACTTTAAGCTGTATTTCACTGACTTGTTTATAATTTTATTTGACAGGGACTCCAGAATTCATGGCACCAGAACTATATGAGGAGAAATATAATGAGCTTGTAGATGTATATTCTTTTGGAATGTGTGTCTTAGAGATGCTCACTTCTGAATATCCCTACAGCGAATGCTCAAACCCAGCCCAAATCTACAAGAAGGTGACATCGGTGAGTTTTCATGAGGGCTTTTCTACTGTATTTCTATATTTATTTTCCACTCCTCTGACCCATTCCCTTATTGAATATTCCAGGGAAAGAAGCCTGAAGCTTTTTACCGCATCCAAAATATTGAAGCCCAGCAGTTTGTTAGAAAATGCTTGGAAACTGTTTCAAAGAGGTTATCTGCTCAAGAGCTACTGTTGGATCCATTTCTGGCGCCTGATGAGGATCTCATGCCAGTGCCGGAGCAACCTCTTCAAATATACTCCCCAAAGGGTGTTTTAGTCGATATGCCTTTTCTGCTTGATAAACCTATTAGGAGTACTGAAATGACAATCACTGGAACTGTGAATCCAGAAGATAGTACCCTTTTCCTCAAGGTGCAAATCTCTGACAAAGATGGTATGTTTTTATCTATATTTATACTTCTCCTTGTTCAGTCCTTTGTCTATTGGGCATGGCTCCAACTAATCTTAGAGCCTGCCAATTAGGTAACCTTAGTGTCACGGTCCGGGAGTTTGGACCCCGAAACGTGCGGCGCGCTCTAGCCTTTTGGCGGCAAGAACACTAGCCTTGAGCGGAAGAGGGGCTTGTGAGCACAAAGCAACACAAGCGGGCAATAGAATCTCAGGAGCACTCACGTCTATCTGGGCGACGGAGTGCGGGTGGTCGGGGCTTGTGACGGCCGATACTTCAAAGAGGGCACAAGCGGGTCCGAACCACGAGTCCTTAGCGCATCAAGTTGGGTTGGAGGGGAGCTAATATGCAAGTAAGACGCAATATCTATAAAGGTCTAACAACAAACAAGCATAAAAGCAAGGCAACACTTGGTAGAAGACTTTAAGATTTCATTAATCATTCGCCCTCTAAAGAGCTTTAAATGACATACAAGGAGAATCCCTAGTGAACACTGATCTGACAGTAACACAATAATGAGACCTCAAGCTAAGAAAACATAACCTAAACTCTAGGAAAGCACTTAAATGGAATCTAATACATCAAAAGGAGTTGGATTCTAACATCCTCCCCCACTTAAGCTGTCGACGACCTCGTCGACTTACAAAAGTTACAATCAAAATTAGAAAACCCTAAACTATCTCAAATTTCGGATGCGCCGTTGGTGCGGCTATCTTCTGGAATCTTATAGCTGGATCTTCTTTGTTGACGAGGAGCTTGTCTCTGGAGTCGCTCGGCTCGAACATCTTGTTGAGAGCTTCATCTCTAAATTTCCTCCTGGGAGTGGAATCTGTTGAATTAAGGGGGACAGCTGCTTCCACCATCATCTGTTGGGGAGCTGCTTCCTTGAGACTGTGGTGGAGAGCTTCTAAGTTGTGGCTGGTGCCTCTTGGGTGACCATTTTCTTTGTAATCCCTTGCACGCGCCCTGCGTTGTTTGCTCAACCACTGTTTTTCCTCCCTCTTGGGAGGTTCTTCTTTGGTGTCTCCGGGCTCATCGCTCTTTGCTTCGAACCTGTGACTGATTCTGGTTTTGGCGGGTGTATATCTGGGATGTTGCCAACTCCATGGGCTTCATCTCCCGCTTCTCTGGGTTTCTGGTGCGAGCTTGTTTCTTCGATGTTGCCTTCTTCTCAGGCTCCATCACTCGCATTGCCGAAAGATATCGGACTTCTGGTTCTTCTTGAGGTGCTATCATTCTCATAGCACTCAGGCGTCGTATGGAACCCATCCTATATGTGGGCTCCTCATCGCTGCTAGTCTCTTTTGTGGCCTCCTGAACGGACATGGATGACAATCTCTTTTGGATCTTGTCAAGTTCTTCTTTATGCTCGCAATCCCACCATTTGTGTGGACCTCGACAAAGTATGCAGTTTATTGCCCTTGTGTTTGCCGAGGATGCGCCGACCCTCGAGTTTCCTGAGTTGTGGGAGGGGGTAGATGTTTGTCTCTGGGCATCACCTCCTCCACTTCTTCTATGATATGTATTAATGGTGTTGGACGATACTCGTGAGCCGTTCTCTGTACCCGTTGGAGAGCTTGGAGACGGACTGTTACAGTGTGTTGACGTCCCACTTGAATCCTTCTTGGATTGACGACCCTTCCCGACTGAGTAGTCCATCAATCTCTCAGCAGCACACATAGCAACAGCGAGGGTATCAATATTCTGCCTCAAAATCTCTCGTTGCGCCCATTCCTTTAACCCGTTGACAAAGTTGAACACACGATCTTTCTCATTCATGTCTGTGATGTCCAACATTATCGCCGAGTATTCTTTAACATAGTTGCGAAGAGAACCCTTCTGGCGGCACTCTTGCAACTTCATCCGTGCAACAAATGCTGTGTTTACGGGGTAGAATTGTTCTTTGAGTTCCTCTTTGAACTCCGCCCATGTATCAATCTTGATCCTTCCTGCTTCGATGTCTGTGTGCTTGGTGCGCCACCACAGCTTAACATCTTCGGACAAGTACATGATGGCAGTATCCACCTTCTGATCGTCATTTAGTTGACATATTCGGAAGTACTGCTCCATGTCGAAGAGGAAGTTATCAACTTCTTTCGCATCTCTAACGCCACTGTAGTCGCGAGGTTTGGGCGGCTTTATCTTCGCCGCACCAACACCCAGTGCATCTCTGCCCACAACGCGCGTTAAGGTAGCACATTTCTCAAGTGCTTCGTCGGCTTTTTTCCTTGAACAAATTGCAATTGTTCGCGGAGGGCATCTCTGTCAGCCATCAATTTCACAATTTGCTCGGCTTGCTCGTGTACAATGACTTGGAGCTCGGCCCATTTGTCCGCCTTCTCCTCGAGCCAAGCGAGCCTTTCTTCTACGAATTCCATCTTCGTGTAGCCCTCCTTGGTGCCTACACGGGTTGCTTGCGACGAGGTTTGAGCCTCGGCTCTGATACCAACTGTCACGGTCCGGGAGTTTGGACTCGAAACGTGCGGCGCGCTCTAGCCTTGAGCGGAAGAGGGGCTTGTGAGCACAAAGCAACACAAGCAGACAATAGAATCTCAGGAGCACTCACGTCTATCTGGGCGACGGAGTGCGGGTGGTCGGGGCTTGTGACGGCCGATACTTCAAAGAGGGCACAAGCGGGTCCGAACCACGAGTCCTTAGCGCATCAAGTTGGGTTGGAGGGGAGCTAATATGCAAGTAAGACGCAATATCTATAAAGGTCTAACAACAAACAAGCATAAAAGCAAGGCAACACTTGGTAGAAGACTTTAAGATTTCATTAATCATTCGCCCTCTAAAGAGCTTTAAATGACATACAAGGAGAATCCCTAGTGAACACTGATCTGACAGTAACACAATAATGAGACCTCAAGCTAAGAAAACATAACCTAAACTCTAGGAAAGCACTTAAATGGAATCTAATACATCAAAAGGAGTTGGATTCTAACACTTAGACATATTTTAGTTTACGTCGGAATAGCAAGTCAATCTTGTTAAAAATGCTTAAATCTCTTGGAATATCTTACAACTTACACTGTAATTTAAAGGTACATTAAATGATGTGGTAGTGGGATTTCATAGCTCCATGGATTATGATCTGCCATGCCTAATGTATATTGTTGTTTTCTATTCAATCTTGTACTGTGGCTAGTTGTCTATTACTTCAATATCTTAGTCAAAAATTCTAACACACCTCTTTGGTATTTTGCTTGTACTGCATTGTAAAGGTTCTGTAAGGTTTATTCACTTCCCATTTGACATCATTAATGACACGGAAATGGAAGTTGCTACTGAGATGGTGAGGGAACTGGATATAACTGATTGGGAGCCACATGAGATTGCTGATATGATCGAGGAAGAGATATCCTCTTTAGTTCCAGGATGGAAAGATTTAGATTCACCCAAAAGCCAGCAACAGCACAGTTTTGACTATAACGATGATGATGAAAATGGCCCTCCCTTCCCGTCGTCTTGTTCACCTTCCCATGGGTCTCCCATTGGTTCCACCAAGTCATGTGAAGTACTTTGCTCTCGTGAGATTCCTTTGAACATAAATCATGATTGGCTTGAAGGTACATATAAGCTCCTACTGAGATACAATATTTTTACTCACTTTGTTTCATAATAGATACAACACTTAAGACTTTTGCAGTTGCCAATGCATGACTTTAACTATTAATATCTTTAAGTATAAATGGGAAATATTAATAAAAACTGAGGATATTTCAAAATTATAAATTGAGACTAATCCAACTGCATGTTACATAAATATATATATGGTCAAATTGAGTAAATGGATAGTCCAAACTCCAAAAGTCAAAAGTATACCATCTATTTTGAAAGAAGGAAGTATTGACCCACGAGTTTGATAGAGTAGTGCTTCTTGTGTGCATTTGTATTATTGATTCATATTTGGGTTTTTCTCTAGTATCAATGAAGCTGCAATTAGTTGTAAACTAAATCTACATGTGATTGATTGAATAACAAATTGACAAATAAGGGTTGTTATTGGTTCTCCTAAGATTATACTGTAAAACAAGTCTAATTGGGTTGTTTAGTGTCTAAATAGCTCTGGCGAGCTAGTGAATAAAGTAGAATTTGTAGAAAGTAATCTTGCCCAAATCTTTTTAAACGGTACCTCTTTCTTCTTCCCACTCTAATTTGCCATATCTAATAACAGTCCATTTTTTCAGAATTAGGCTTGAGATAACCATGCTATGCATCAAATCCTAAAAATAGTAGTAGTAGTACTGTGGGAAAGTTCATAATTTAAGTTAAACTAATTTGTAGATTGGCATAATATTTTCGGACGTGATGTCCCAAGTTAGAAATGTGGTCTTATTGAAGTGGAACAGAGAGAATAATATGTACGTACTTGGGACTTTAGAAGGATTAGAGCTTTCTCAGTGGGTAATTGTACTTGTGTAAATTCTTTTTGGTAACAGGACATTTGGTTAATGCTGAAGATGCATATTCAGAAAGCTCATGTAGCTCAAGCTCTTGCTCTGATTTTGAGTACACTTCGCTGAAGAGTCCAGAAGCAAGGGATGTCATTTCGGATTTGAAAGTAGAGGAGCATTCTAGGTTTTGTCCTCGTGAAAGCACGACTTTCAAGCATGATGATAAGTACAATGGATTATCTGGTACTCTCAAGAGTATGAGCTCAAGTGGGCAGAAGAAGTTTAGCAGGATACGTTCGTTCATGGACATCCGTAGCCAGTTGCTGAATCGGGCCTTGATGCAGTCCCTGAACAAGCGTCGTGCAGCCAAGACTGTTGGTGCTGTGGAAAATATCGGGTTCCATGATCCTTGCTGACCTTTTCTAGGAGGGGGATGCTTTATGGTATTTACTTGTGGTGTTTCCATTTCCTAAATACTTGAACTCCTTTGGATATTGTAAACTATTGAGTGTAATTTGCCGCGTCCAACCAAACGAGTATACTCGTATATAAATTTGGTTTGTTATCTTTTATGCGAGACTGCCCTTTACCTTGAAGAAAATACAGAAAATCTCAAATAGTGTGGACTGAGGACTGAAGACTGAAGATGATGCATTCTGTAATAAAAAAAGAATGAAATAGCTAATCTTGTAAATAATGGCAAAAATAATCACCAAAAAAGTTATATTAGTAACCTTTACATACTAGTATATTGGTTGATCAATATATACAAGTTTACAATTGATGTACAATATTTATTATATATAAAAAAAATTGTGTAATTAAATTTTTTCATAGGAGAAAAAAGAGAGTACATAGTTACACACTTATACGAGGTACTTCTTTTTCGGTTTCCCATAGAAGCGCAGTGACAAACTTTTGAAAACTCATCAGATTCCTTTACCTGTATGCACCTCTTACAAATACTTTTTGAATAACATTGGATAATATATTTTATAAACAATTAACAAATGTGGGGATTTTTAAGGGTCTAATTTGAATATACTTAAAAGTATATACATATCAAAGTACTTGAGAACCATAGATATACGACCAATACGGATGTGTATTATGTGTCAAGTACAGGTATGATGATCAATACAAGTCTTCATACTTGTACTTAGCAAGCAATAAGCACCCGTGAAGAGAGAAAGACAGACAGAGGAGGAGGATCAAAAAGAAAATTGAAATAGAAAGAGGGATATAGAGAAGAGAAATAAGATAGAGAAAGGATAGGATCAAAATAGAGAGAGAGAGAGAGAGAGAGAGAGAGAGAGAGAGAGAGAGAGAGAGAGAGAGAGAGAGAGAGAGAGAGAGAGAGAGAGAGAGAGAGAGAGAGAGAGAGAGAGGCCACTTTAGAAAGATCGATCATTCAAAAAGAGAGAAATATCACTTAGGTTAGAGAGAGATAGACTACTTAATTAAGAAATCGCTTAAGAAAATCAATTCAATTAGTTTAGGGGGAGAGAGAGACTACTTAAGAAAGGTCACTTATGAAAATTAGGGTAATTAGCTTTGGAGAGAGAAAGACCACTTAAGAAAAATCAGCCGGGCAATTAGCTTTGGAAAAGTTTACTAAAATGCTTAAGAAATAGAAAGAACACTTATGAAAATAATAGCAATCATTTAAAAACACAAATGACCATCTAATCTTATACGTCCTTAGCCCTTTTGCCATTAGCTATAACAAACTTTTCAAAATTGTCTATATATTATTCTACAGCTTTAAGTCAACCTGTATTTTTGCCAAAGCATAACTAAATAACATCACATAAATTCATAATTCATGACAAACAAATAACTAATCAAATTTAGCATACTTTTAGATTACTTTTTTCTAATATAATGATTTGAGTTACTTCTTTCTAATAAGATGATTTAAGTTACATATTTCTAATATGATAATTTAGATTTCAATATTTCCCTTCTGCATTGACTTTAATAATTTAAATGCATACAACATTTAAACACTACGCAAACATAATTAACATGTAACAATAGTTACAATACAACCGTATACATAATTGAGGACCACGCGCGTAGGGGCCACTACTAGTATTGGTAAAATACCCCGTTCTAATTTCCAACTTCAATGGGCAAAATTGTAAAATCATCTATCATTATAATTTTCCCACCTCATTTGTGATTTGCATTTCCCTCCTCTTCTTCGTCTTCACTTTCTGATTGTTACACCATTAGTTCTCAATTGTAATTCATTCAGAAATAAGATTCCCAGCTACTTCTCTCTCTAGTTTTTCTCTCTCTACTTCTTCCTTCTTCTTCTATTTTTCTCTCAATATCTCTCTATCTTTTACTCAAGTTCATCCTATCATGTCTGAGCAGGTCAGTTCATCTTTGATGATTTTGCCGTGATTTTATTATTCGATTGCAGTTATTTCTTGGAGAAATTGATATTTATTTGATTGAATTAGTTATTTGATAGTTATTTAATAGCTATTTGCTGAAGTTGATCGATTAGGGCTATTTGTTAGAATTTTGTTAATGGAATTTCTTGCATTTCAGACTTTTTAATTGTTTCAATATCGTATTAGACTAGGTCAGTTCATCTTTGATGATTTTGCTTGATTTAATTGTTGGATTGCAAATTTTAATTAAAGAAATTGATAGTTATTCGTATTGTGATTTAAGCTCGTGCTCCTCCAATGGATTCCGATCGTTTCCTCGCCGACAATGTTGCGTCGCGGTACGCAGCATTATCGAGAACGAAATGACTCCGTATTAGTAATAGTAATAGTAGTAATATGTTAGGAAAGATTAGGAGAGTATTATTCATTATTATCATATAATTTAGTTTCCTTAATTATAGCCTTAATTCACTCAAGATAATTCTAAGAATATCTTGTGATGTTATCTTAGGAAACTATGTACTCTACATATATGATTTGAGATCATTCAAGCTTTGAGCCCTAATTACTTTGACATAATATGAAGCCTCCGAAACGTCTCCTGGTGATAAACCGGAGCGTTTCGGGGACGCTTCATCGAGCATCAATGATATTTTGTTAATGTAATTTCTTGCGTTTTGGAGAAAGTATGTTGATGAATCTGTAAAATTTTAATTATGCTCTCAGTCATTTATAGTTTGCTGATTGTTAGTTTATAGCATCCTTGATGACATAATTTTAGTCATCCTTGATTTTATGATTTCAGTTTGCTGTTTGTAAGCTTATAGCATCTTTGTTAACACATTTGCTGAATTGCTGTGTGCTGGACTCTTTCTATCGATCTGCTTATGATTGTTTCAATATAGTATTAGAGTAGGTCAGTTCATCTCTGATGATTTTGCTGTTGATTTTGATGATTGTTTCAGTTTGCAATGCAATGATCACTAGCTAGATTCTGTATTCTGTTGATAGTACTATAGCTAGGAGTGTTTTATATTTCACTTCTGCAAGGGAGATCGGTTGTACACTACAACTATCTTTAAATGATTTAGCTCAAGATGCAACTCCTATTGCTAAATTTGAATATAGTAAAGAAATGGATCCTTCAGAATGATACATTTAGGAACAAGTCCAAAGTTGTATTTGGAAAGGCACATACAGAATTTCATATTTTTAGTTGTCCTTACTTGTGTATATATATAGTGAAATCTAACATCTTTGCAACTTAGAAACCTCATATGTGTTGAAGACTCAAAGGCAGTAAACTAGTGCTGAGAGCATACAAAGTAAATCTGTTATGTGTAATTTTGTGATACATACATATTCATGGCATCTATAAGAATACTTGAAGCTACTTAGTAAGCAGAAATTATGTGGCATCTAGTTAACCTTGAATAAACTTTAATTGCTTCATCATGTTTAGTTAGGATTTTGTATCTCATCAAAGTAAATCCCCTCTGCAAGGTTAAGCCATGTGTATGCTGAACATACACTTTGTTGTCACTTCTTTTCAAAGTTAGTGTAACTTGTTTTCTTTTCGCTTCAAATAAGATAAAAGAACGGACACTTACAATGCAAAAAGGCTCCATTGTCAGAGGAGATATTTGGAGCAGAGTGGACAGGTCCTTGGTTATATGATGCATAATACCAGTGTGCTGGTGGGGAATGACTTGGCACTTCCCTTTGAATTTCTTTTTAAGCAATATGACCTTAATAGTGAGGATGTGTATGGAGGCTATTACTTGGTGTTGTTAGGGGTACTTAATATGTGTGCATTGTATTTATTTTATTTATTTTCTTTTCATATGTATCAAGGATCATGCATATACATCCATACTATTATTTTGAGTATCGGATATGTTTGACTCAGGTATATTATGTTCTACAGTTTCTCATCTTTTCTTTCCTTTGTTAGAAACTTAGACGCAAATAGTGTTCTCACATTATAAAATTGTAGCTTATGGCTGTACTAGGGTAAATGATTTCCAATTGCTTTGCCACTGTAACCTTTGTTAGCCCCCAAGTTCATTTACTGCTCCTCCCTCCTTTTCTTTTTGGTGTGCACACTTTATGCATGTTTTTTCGGTGCTTGAGATTCATGAGATGTTATGTAAATGGTAGGGAAATGTATGACCTATCAATTCTAGATGATTTTCTCAACTTGTACTCTTTCTCTTAGACATAGCAGGGACCTTAGCTTTCAACACCTTAATTCTTTCCTTTTTATGCAACCTTACCTGGAAGGTCTAGACACCAAGTTTCGTCCTAAGATTTGAGCTTAAATTTGACTTGTTTCCTTTGAATTGTTAATTCGGAGTACACAGACATACAATTTTAGGTATCTCAGTGTTGGGAATTTAGAGGAAGAAATTAATCAACGGTAACACACATTATCACAAACAATGGTTGTGGACAATTTTAATTAACCTTATCCCTTAATTACTATTTCTCCTATTAGTGGTCTTCTCTCTTTCTCTCTTGATATGAGACTTGTTCAATCATGATGACAATCCTTCCCTGAATGGCCTTATATATAGGGCTATTAATTTAATCCTTCCTCCAATCCAAAGTAGATGACTTGTTTATTTTTAAGGAATCAGAATTTAACCAAAGGTAGTAATTTACTTTTAGTATTTCTGTAAAGCAGCAATAGGATTTAAAGAAATAACTAAGTCACTTCTACGAGTTAAATTGAAGAAGATGAAAGTTGACCTTTAATCTTTTTAAATAATTTCCGTAGCTTATCATATTTTGAATTTAATGTAGTTCAATAAGTGAGCTGTCAATGAAAGATGCTCTCGGTGTGCATTTATGACTAGTGTTAAAGCAGGTTTTGGTTGTATGATATAGGACACTTTTTATTTAGTACTGCTGAAAAAGGGTATTGCTTTCCTTTTTATTTGGTTAATATTTTGGTCCTAGTATCAGGTAAAAGCTTTGTTGATGATTCTGTGAAAATTATTGTGGTGCAAATCTATTTGCACAAAGCACCAATAGTTTCAGAGTACTAACACTTTTATATTGGCCTTTTATTATGCAGTGAGTTCAAGGAAATTGAACCTGTCCTATCCGCGGCAGTGATTGAAAGCCCATTGGAGCCATCACCTGGGATATCATCAGCTTCCATTAATGCCTCTGGTGTTACTGAGATTAATTCTATCTCAAACTTTCTGTGTGTGTGTGCTAGTATGAGCTTTGTGACTTGCTTTGTCTCTAGCATGTTAAATGTTGATGTGAGATGTTGAGCTCATCATTATTTGTTCTTGTTATGTTCTTTCTTTCCTTTTTATTTTTATTTTTTTTTATTTTTTATAAATCAGATGGTTCCTTCTAACATTTCATGTAAGCCGACCCCACATCATTATGAGACTAAGGCTTTGTT